TCCGAGCAAATTTAGTGAATTTGGGTACTTTATATCCTCGAGTCAATTACGTCTCGAGAATCGCATTCGGAAAGGGAGATACAAAATATGTCCGATTGGGTAGTCTCAATTCCATCCCTTGTAAATTCATCCTATGTCCTATATTCCGATTGTGTATATTTTGAAATCCTTCGTTCAAATTCCCATAAATATCATTCCTCACATGTTGATACTCATTTCCCATATGTTGATGTTGATCATTGTTTCTATTTCTCCTCAATAGATATGGGGGATTAATATTAGTATTCTGATTAGCATGATTTTCTATCCTCGTTTGTCGAGGCACAGCCAATGCATCCCCGATTCGTGACATTTGGTCTGCTAATATCTCAAAACTAGCATTAGTGTTTTGCACTAATGGATTTAAGACTGTGGTCAACTGTTGTGATAACATATTCACCATTTCAAAATTACTCTCATCCATTTGTTGTCTAAGTACCCCTAATGAATTACTAGATATTCCGGTACCCATGTTTTCAATAGAATCAAAATTAGATCGATGATAGTCTCTATCGAATACATGTCTCCCATGCTCTAAGTTTCCCCTATGATCTAGATTTGGAGATATCTGTTGTGTGCCTACATTCTGTCCACTCCCTGTCTGGGGAATTACTAAGTTTTGAGATGTCCCTACATTCGGAGGAATTCCAAAATTTTGCGGCATACCTAGTGTTTGGGACATTCCTAAGTTATATCTCGAATTCCTATGCGCTGAAGAAGTTCCAGCCCCACTTACACTATTAAGTGAAAACCTGGGCGGTCTTACACTCATACGTGGCCCTACATATGTAGTTGTAGGATTTCCCATAGTTTGCATATTATTTGGTGTAACCACACTAGATCCTATTTGAGTATTCGCTAAAGTGCCTGAATTTTGTTCATTACTCACGGATATCGACATACTTATAGTTGTCGATATTCTCTTGTTTTTATTTATTTATTTTCCCCGATAATAATTACTGCTTCTTTCATTTTTATCAGATTTATAACGCAAAACATAATTTACTCGTTAAGTTTACCTTTTAATTTAAAAAATTAAGAGAGGTGATAGAAAAATTTCCATTCTATTTCTGAACTTTTTATTTACCTTTTAATTTAAAAAATTAAGAAATGTAATAGATTTTATTGTAACATATTTATTAAAGGTTAATCATTCTTATTATTCCTTTATTTGTTTTTAATTTGTTTTAGTTCTTAAAAAATTGAGAGAATGATGATGGCAGTATAACAATCTCAACTATTAATCTGACATCATAAAGAACAAATGAGTAATTAAAATAAGATTAAAAAAATACATGTACTTTTCTCGTGAGATTTCTTAATAATATAAATAAATAGTGACGTAATTGATTGTTAACGTGACTTTGACTTCACTGTTAACAATGTTTATTGACAATAAAACTATACTAAAATTCTAAAACAAATTACTGATGAAATAATAATTAATGCATTTATTTATTACAAACCAATTAATTTTAAATAGGTTATTGTTTCGGTGGAATTTCGATCGATTTCGATTCTAAGGGTGTTTTGGTCTTAATCAAAATTCTAGCACGTAAGTTCTTTTTACTTAGGCTAGCAATTTGATTTTCAATCGAAAACGTGTATGAGAATCGAAAATCACAATATATCGACGGAGCTGTTTTTGATATTTTGTATTTAAAGTACTGAAAGCAGTAAAACTATCGAATCGAAAAACAGAATATTAAATTGCGAGGAAATGTAAATTATGAGAACCCCAAGTTTTGCATTAATTGTAAATAACAAGAAATCGAGATTGCAGGAAAAGTAAATGGCAGGAAATCGAGATTTGCGGAATGATAAATAACATGGAAACTTAAATGCGTAAACTTAAGCTTTCATTGAATTGAAATGACTATGAATCGAAAGTACGTAAATATGAAATCACCGACCTCAAATTGCAATCAACATAAATTACCAAGGAAAATACGAAGCGGTAAATGTACTCGGTGAGCAAAGAAACCCGGATTGCCGTAAGCTTCATGATGTTCGTCGTTTTTCCGTAGACTTTTCACTACCGATTCCGTTCTCCGCCAATTCTCGCCCCGTTCCTTCCTTCTTTGCTCTATTTATAGTGGCCTCCTTCAAGCCTTCCAAGAACGAGTTAATAAGACCGCTACCACGTTCTTTCGTGCATGACGGTTTCTTTTTCTACAGTTTCCCACGTTCTCACGATCCTCGACTCTTTCCATGGTCCCAAAACTGCTTTCTATACGTGTGTTTGACTTATTCTTCTCTTTGTGGTTTGTCCAGAGTTTCGATGTCCATGTTCCCTTCGCATTCGATGATATCGAACACTTTGCATTGCTTTGGGTTTAACCTTAACATCATATGATTCTAGTTTCCTAGTTTTTTATTCGACAACAAGCATTTGGTTATCATTCACCCAATTTTCGATTGTGTCTCTCGATGTTATGTACTACGTACTTCTAATTGGACATCGAATGATTTCTTTTGTCTATCTTACCGATTTATCAATTGATCATATTTCTCGATTCCACAATAACAGTTATACTTTACTTTGTTAATGTTTATTTTCGTTTAGTAAATATTTTAATAAAATTAAGTTTAAAAAAAGACATATATTATGAAATTTTTAAAGAATTTGACAAGATTAAACTTCTACAATGCCTATATAATAAATAATTTTATTTTTAAAATACATGATTTAAAATAAACTAAAACTTATAAACGACAATACGTTGAAACCGACGATCAAATAAAGTAAAAGGCATTTTCCCCTTATGTGACGACATTTATTTTCATAACATAAAAAAAGGGAAAAAAAAACTTTGCAAGTCAAATAGGGAAAGTTTATGTTACAGCGTGGTTCACAGTCAAAGAAAGTTTTGGTCTTCCCACGGAAGCTCACCGTAATCTTCTACTTTACGTACTGATTTTTAATTTTTCTTTTCCTCTTTTAAGTAGCAACATAAATTGTCAAAAATAGATAAAAGAAAGTGTATTGATGAAACATTAAAAAGTAAAAACGTAATTTTCAGCTTATGTCTTATTTTTTTAACGAATATTATTTTAAGGACATCCATTACAATTCAATAATCATCCAAAAAACTATAATTATATGCTCTCCAATAATTTTATTTATTTTTTATTTAAAAATAATATCAAAACTTATATTCTAATAGTTATGTGCGTTGCAGTAAAATTAGCCTTAGAACAAATATAAACCTACGACATGAATAATTTATTTACAAATAGTATGAAGTCTCGTTTATAGCAATTTAGATGAAAAGAAGTTGTGTACGAAAAGATCGTGTTTAAACCTGAGCCTAGGTATTTCAGAATCCTGTTATATGCAGTTATGTTTTATCGAGTGCTGAACATAGTCAAACTCATCTCATTGTGGTACCTATCTCTTAGCACCAGGTTAGAAATATAAGTTTTTTTTTTTTTTTTCAGAAATTGAACAAGTCTTGTGCGTACGGAACGACTAAAAAATATATATATATATATATATATATATATATATATATATATATATATATATATATTTATTGACCCGATTCATTAAACAAGGAAGAGAAAAAACACTTTGAAATTACGTTTTAGTGTAGTGTTATTGATGGAAGACTTATCCATTTTTATTCACTGGTTTTAGTGGTGAGATGAGTATGTTGTGTGAGATGAATTGAATAGTTCAACGCGTAGGATCTTCAGTTAGGTGCCTAAAGACATTTTTCCCACTCAAACGTTCTCTCCATAACATTTATTCTATTATTTCTATCTCGATTTTTTTTTTCTTTTTGACATTTCTTATTCTAGAATTAATACAAGATGAAGAAGTAAGACAAACGTTATTCTGTTTTGATTTTTTATTATTATACATAAAGAGAGACCATTTTGGCTTGTTGTACTGTGATTACGAATTAACCATCATGTCATTCTTCCCTTTTGTTCGCTTCAACCCTAAACAAAAGTTACAGTACTATTATTATTACATTTTTATTGTACTTTTATTATTAATTAATTTTTATGTGAATAATGTTAAATAAATATGTGTGATATAATTTATTTATAAATTTTTCACAAATATATTTAATAACAAAGAAGTGAATTTTGACTTTTTTAAAGAATCAGTTTTTTTTTTTAATTAACAAAAAAATAAAATTAGTCAATATTTTAGTCCAAAAATTTAATATTCTATTGCACTTCAGTCAGTATAGTCATAAATGTAAATTGTAAATTATATATATATATATATATATATATTTTTTTTTTTTTTTTAATTTATCAAAATCTATATTATGAACAAATATATATTATTCAATGTAATCTTACTTCATATCACTACTTTCAAAGATATTATATGAAGACATGCTTGCCCTGTTGTGTGAGTATTGGTGGGTAATTAGTGATTTCAATATCAGGTATATTCATTTTCTAGTATGACCAGCTTTCTAGAAAGGCTGTGATTTGTTGATATGTTTGTATATCAACAATTTCACCGGTGACATCCAGTAAAATATAAGAAGTTGCAACAAACATTTTTAATAACACACAAACATACATGTTTACATGACATTGATGTAATGGATTACTAATATCACACCAAGGCAAAAGATCTTTTAACAAGTTCTGAAATTAATCCTGTGAAGCAAAAACAATCTTTAAGGAAAATCCACGAAATGCTTGTACAAAATCTAGAAACTTCCCCGATCTAAATCACACCATTAACTTCATTATAATTTTACTATCCCGGCAAAGCATGAATGCTTAGTTATTCACATAACTTTATAGGTCCTTACACTCATAACTGTTGACAACAACAAATACAAAAGGGTGATCCATCTGTACCTTATATTTTTCTTTCGTAGTCACGCCTTAAACATTAACAAATTTTGGATCACCCAACCATAGTAAATAAAGAGAACAGAATAATTGTGCTGAGTTTTTGTATCAATGTTGTCTGGTCGCTAATATCATCCTGCACGAGGATCTAGCACCTGGCCCATAAAGAGTACTGTTCCAGTTAAATCTTCTCTGATGAGGAACAAGAAAGGGTGGTCAGCTACAAAGTCTATTTTAGACTGAAACTGTATACTCCTCAGTAGTATAGTTGCAGCAGTAGCCGCTGCAGCTTCAGTGCCTTCTTCGTTTACTTCAATAAAAGACTTGTGAAATATATCAGAAACACACAGGTTTTGACCCACAGGAGACTCCACCATTTCTGTCAAACCTCCAACTGTGAAAGGCAAAACCACTCCCAGCTCCTTCAGCACATCAGAGGCTTCGAACCCAAAAGAAATTTTGAATCTTGGGATCCTGAAATCCCCTACTTCCATTTTTTGATTAGGAAGCTTGCTTTTCAAGAACCCAGATTCAGAAGCCAACTTCTCAGCCAAAGCTGGCAGCCCATCTTTTGCATCTGGAAGGAAAAAGTACATGGTGAATTGACGTTTATCTTCTCCTTGCTTGTAGGGAAGACCAAGGACTTTGAAACCATCCAAAGGCTTAATAAACTGTTTCTTCTTGCTAGTCATGAAGGGAACCTTGACTGAACTGCCATCAAGAAGGTGGAAATCATAGTCTTTTGTTAGTGAAGCATCAAACTTCTCACTCCACGCTCCTTTGAAATACAGTGCATTTGCAAAGATTAGTCTGGTTGTACTGTCAACAGATCCAGCAGGGAGAAGTTCTTTTACAAGGCCATTTGTCTCCTTCTCGGCCCAAGAATTAACTTCATTGGCCACTTCAACAGCCTTCAAAAGTAAAAATCATTATCAAATAATCAATCGTATGAATAGACCAGTTGCTCTTTTATCTGTTATGCATTTCAATAAAAGAATTTAAGATTTTGCAAATTTTTTTTTTTTTTTCCACATATGTATGCTACCAAATCTACTAGAAACTGTACAGAACTACAGATCATATTTGACTACACCACCAGACAACAATGAGGAGAGTTACGAATCAGACCATCAAGTCGACAAGGCAACAATTCCAATAGAGGTTGACACCCATGCTGCTGTAAAATCAATTTAGTAAAGGATCGAGAGTTTTGTTTTATATCTAGTACTAGATTACAAGAGACAGAGAGACCAGAGGTTCATTGTGGCAAACTATTGCAGCACTAGTTTGGCATCTTGTTGCACACTTGGCTCGATCAAACACTCGACAAAAAAGACTGGCAGGTCCAGTCCGGTTGTTAAATCAAGATGTTTGGATCAATCTTAAATTCGTAATGACTACAAAAATGGCAAATTGAAGGTTTTCCATATTTTGTGGGCAGTGGCAAGGCTGTATGAACAGAATAAGAAGCATTTCATACTGAAAAAGGATGAAAAAGCATCCACACCGTCACACACAACGTTATCTTGCGTTGAAATTTGTACTTATAACTTTTTGGTATGACGGCGACAATGATCATAATAATGTCATGTTTAGATAAACTTATTTACAAAGACTTATTTGAGAGGAAAAGCAAGACAAAAATAAAGATGCGTTGGATGGAAGCTATATGCGTAAACTAATTTATGCTTTTGGAGTAGTTGAAATAATTTCTATCATCCCAAAACTGAAGCTAGTTTTAGCTTCATATTATGAAAGGCGCTTGTTTCTTTTTCTTTTTCTTCTAAAAATTGAAGCTAACTTAGTTCTATATCATGAAAGAAGCTTATTTCTCTTCCCTAATTTTCTCCAAATAGAAGTGTTTGAGCTAGTTTTTGTTGAATCTAATATGAGAAAACTTCTGCACACTAGCTTTTATGCACATTAGATTTTGGAGAAACTTCTTCCATTTTTTTCATCTCATTTTTTAATCTCAAATGCTTATATGGGTATGTTTATTCCAATAGACTCTCAATGAAAAACATAATTTTGTTAAAATGACATGATAATAGAAGGCTCTAGAAGTTCCACGACAACCAACTATATCGAAAACCATGCATGAAGGCATACTAATGATCTGATTTCTATCACAAACTTCACTCTTAAAAGGAAGAGCCTACACTACTCTCTACACTGGAACAAAATGTTTTCAGGCGTCTTCCAAAAACATTTTACTAATTATTGAATACCTACATAAAGGGTTAGCCTCTAAAGCAACAATATCCAATGCTAACAGAACAATGGGATGAAAAGATTCAGTGTAGTGAAAAAGAGGGAAAGTTACCTTGGTCTGGAAATCAACTGAAGCCAAAGTGGCCTTGTAATCAGTATTGACAAGTTGTTTAAAGGAAGGGAGAAGAGAAAGGGATTGCTCAACCCAGACGCCGTCCGCGAAGGACAGACGAGGGCCGCCGGAAGGAGCGGCGTCGGCAAGTACAACCGTGACGAGCTGAGAGGCGAAGGAGTTGAGATGGTGGGTGGACTTGGATCGGAGGAAGGAGAGAAGCTGATCAAGTGCGGGACCCTTGGAGCCAGCAGCAATGATGCTGAGAACAACGTGCAACGACAGCGGCGAATACACGAGATTCTTGTCCCGAGCTTCCTTGGACAACAGCAGCTTTGTCATGCTCAGGGCAACATCGGTTTGGTTGCTGATCGATTCGCGCAGGTCCATTGTTGTTTCCATGCTCCGATGAACTGAGGCTCGCAGTCGCAGTGACTCCGCTGATTTAAGAATCCTGATTTTTGGATATTTCAGCACTTCAAACACCCAATTAACGAACCTCATTTTTATATATTTTTTATCGTCGGTTCAGGACAACCGTGTCGTGCTCCCGCTTTGACACTTCGATCTTCTCTCCACGTGACCACGCGTATGCTTAGGGATTAAGTTTGGAATGGACAAATTTTATATCCACTAAATTTTGTCTATTAGGAACTAGGAATGAATTTGGTATTTAATATTTAGGAAAAGATTTTTTTATATTCGATTTTTTGAAATATCTATAAATAATTTAAAAATATTATTTTTTTATTAATGAAAGAGAATAAAGTAAGATAAATAAATAATAATATAAAAATTTAAAACAATTGTTGGATGAATGTTTGAGAGAAGTGAATAGTAAATATTTATGCTTTTCGGACTTTCGAGCCATTTCTTGATATTCACACGTTGCTTTTCGGATTAAATATTTTTATTTTTAAATTGAGAAACCAAAATCATAGATACGATCAAAGTTATATTTATTTATTCACATAAGTAAGTTTTACAAGCAAAGAAATAGATATCAAGGTGCGAAAACAACCTTGAGCGAGTTTTTCTTGTATTTCTTTTTACTTGAAAAATATGAAACAGTAAATCTTGTAAAGGAGAAAATATTAAAAAAATTGAAGCAGTGGGATTGAGAAAGGGATGTGTGGAGAGCGAGGGGAAGGGGTTAATAGAAAAGAAACTTTATTATAAAAAAAAAGTGCAAAAAAATACTTGGAGTTGTTGTGAATAACAAAATCAGGCCCATATTGGACATACAGAACTGTGAAAATGGCCCATTAATAATTTAATGGGTCAGGATTCTGCAAAAGGGGCCATGATTACTTCTGTAATATTCCTATCTTCCAACTTCAATTTGCTCTATTCAAATCACACAATTGCATGAGATAAATTAAAGAATGAATTGGAAACAAAAATAAGTCAGGACCAGGACTTGAAAGAAGAAATAAAGGAAACCTTTTTTTAAAGTCAACATCCATCTTTATTAGTATTTGTTGATTTTTTTTTTAAAGTCAACATCCATCTTTATTTAGATGGTTTAATTGCTCTGTAAAATACTAAAAATACCCAGAAAAGAATATTTTGTTTAATTTTCGATTTTAATTTAATCTAATTAAGAAATCAACATTTTGTGATTTTTTTATCGTCTTGAAATAGGTCCTTAAATAATTTTAAGAATTATTTATCAAATAAATTTTATAATTTGAATGAAACAAATAATAGCTGCATAATAGATAAAAACACATACACTATTTGAATATTATATATATTATAAGAAAATTAAAATAGCGAAACAGAACTAGTTTATAAATAAAATATCATATAACCAACTTGTTCATTAACTAGTTAATTAACTTTGATTACTTACAAGTTAAAACTGTGTCTTAATTAACTCTTTGTTAGTGACCCCCACAAGAAAACAAAAAGGCTTAAGTTGGTTGGATTTGGAATATGTTGAGCTGTGATGCTGCTGATTCAATTGTCAACACATTCAATTCAATTTCTATTGACATGCAAATGAGATACCTTTTTCGAATCCGTCACAATCATCCTACCACGTCCTTATATCATATATTAATTATATGTGAATTTATGGACATGCGTAATTTGAAATGTACTAATATGCATGTGAATATATATGTTTTTGTTGACTTTTTATTTCTTTTTTAAGAAGGGTGTCTTCTTTATATGGATATAGAACAAACTCTACCTAATCGAAGCAAGTTCATAAATTTTTTGTTGTTGTGATGAATTGTGTTTCTGGGTGTAGTAAACCTTTGAAGTTAAAGGAATCTAATAATGTTGGGACATTATGTAGAACAACAGTATGTATTTAGCTCTAAAGGTCGTTTTCTTTTGTTGTGTAATTTACAAAGGATGGTTGCAGAAGCAGCATCAAACAGCAGAAGAGACAAAAACAAAATCCAAACAGGAAGAGAACGATTTGGTGTAAGAAACATGGTTTTGTTGTTGTTTTAAGATCTTTTCCTTTTTATTGTACAGTTGAGTTGGCTTATTTTTTGGGTCAAATTAGAATGGAAGCTATGAATGTTTCACAAGGTCAACACAGGGATATACGCTTTGGTACATTATACATGCATGAACAAAGTAGTTCAAAGATGCCAATCAATTCTATTAACTAACGTAGAATTCAGCTCCATCAACACTTAATTAATTCGTTCTGGTGATAAAAAAATTATTATGTCAACTAATAAGTTCAAAACACCCACATTATGGGGGTTGGAGAGAACAGAAACTTAGCTCACAAAATGTGACATTTTTTTTCTAATGGTCAAGTTGAGATACCATTTTTTTTATAGCTTACTTCAATTGCAACATGGTTCCTATATAAATTTATGGCAAATGAAGTACTAGTTCCTAAGGAAGTGGCACATTCTGTACTAAAGAAGGCACTAACAATGGTAATCAACCCTTTCCTTTTTCTTGCAAAACATTTTGAATGTTCTGCTTCCAATTCAACCGATCATGAAGACTGAATCAATTTCTCAAACTTGTTTAAGCTTACACTCGTGCATTTTAGTGTCCTCTCTATCTCTCTCCTTTGAACTTGTTTAGTTTATTGAATTTTCTTTTCATCACTCGCCAGGGAATCTGCAGAAACATGGTTACCCAACCAAGGCAGCAGAGAAGGTTAGGAGGAAACAGAGCTGCACTTTTTGTATATGGTAACAGCTTGAACCCTTTACTTATTTTTTTTCTGTGTAAAAACCAAGATATTTAGCTAGAACTAAAAACTAATTTCTTGCTTCATTTGAAGAGTTTACATCTCCTAAAAGATGTTTCTTTCATAATCGAAGTTCTTAACCAAATACTCAAAGAAAACGATTGTTCTTCAACTTATACCCTTTTGTTGTGTTCTTCTAATAAACTGAAATGATTGGACTTTGTGCTTGCAGCTATGGAAGGGCTAGAGAGCATGGCTTTCGTTACTAATGCTGTGAGCCTAGTAATTTACTTCTTCGGCTACATGAACTTCAGCATAACAAAATCTGCCACAACCCTGACCAACTTTTTGGGAACTGCATTTTTACTAGCACTGTTTGGTGGAATAATCAGTGATACCTATCTCTCTAGATTCAAGACTTGTGTTCTGTTTGCAAGCATGGAATTGCTGGTAAGTAGAACCAATTTCTCTTACAAGTTCATGTCCCAGCAAAAGATAAAAAGATAATTGTTTTCAGCATCATGACATGAAGTGGTTTTGAATTTTGATTAGAATTACCATTTGGGAAGAATCATGTGAATGATAGTAAATAATACTAAAACAGAACGAAAAAACATGTCTAATTGAAAACGTAGTCTACCATTATAACTGTAGTGCTCAATTATCGAAGCACAGGTTGTTTCTTGACTAGCATGTTTTCTTGGGTGATGACCAACCGACAACCATTATTATGTCAGTGAGCACGTCTCAAAATCTTCCCAGCAAGAGTGGCTTAATTTGAATGCAGAATGCCAACACCAAAGCACACTAATTACTACAACAAAAATTTAATTCACGTCAACATCGTACCTTGTCTTTACTTGTAGAAAAATTGTATTTTTACAATTGTTTTATATAACATTTTTTAATATCAGGGAGACAGAAAGAAAAATTTTACTTATAAAATATGATAAGGATATGTTTTGATTATAATAGTACTAAAGTTTCCCTTTGTTGGATATATAGAGAAGTTTCCAACTTGTCTACTTGGTAAGAACACAGCGTCAATTGTGAAAAAAATAATGAAAAAAACAAAGTTCTCTTTATTTTTTCTCGTTTTTCAACTCTAGTATATGTAGATATATCTGAATAGGATCATTTATTTTTATAAAAAAAATTAAATATTTGGATATAAAAATTTAAAAATAATATATTGTTTAAACATTTAAGAGAGTAATTAATTATTTCAAATTATATAAGAATTTAAAATTTATCAGATATATTTATCAACTTGACTTCAATGGAGATGTTGTGAACTCAACCTCAACAAGCCTGTCATCACTTGGTGAATTTTTATTTAAAGTTAGTCATGTTTTTTTTTCTATGATTGGAGGATTTTTCGCTAAACTTGATTAGTTGAAAAGTTGGTAAAAAACTAATATTGATAAACTATGTAAAAGAAATAAAAAATAATATATATATATATATATATATATATATATATATATATATGAACTAAATAATTGTGATGAAGATTAATAAAAAATAATTCCGATTGATGCCAATAAAAAAAACTTTGTTGATGGTAGTTGAAATTTTTTATATTAAAAAATAGTCTTGACTCTCCACTGAATTTTTTTAATTAATAATAATTTTTTTAATATTAAAATAAATTTTCATCTAGTGATGATATCTGAAATATTCTATAAAAAAATTCAGAAAATTTTTATTGTCTTATTCAATCAACACATTAAAAAAAATAAATTTAAATTAAATTTAATAATTTTAATTTTCTGTCAAAAAAGACATGTAGTCTCTAAAAGTATAAAACAATTGTTAACAAAATAATAAGTGAAGAAGTTTGAGCCATAACTATTAAAATTCTACAATTCTCAATATAATATAATGAAATAGCTACATATTTGAATCTTGCAAATAATTGTGAATCTTATAATAATACATGAATGAAATTAAGCGACTCTAGGAATCACACAATTCTTCTTTTATATTTTAAATTTTCTTTCGCCATTTTTTCCAGGAATGTTTTTACATACTTTAAGGTTTTGTGCATCTTTTCCCAGAAAATAATAAAATTAGATACCTTAAATTTTTAAATGAAAAAGAATCAAAGAGTACTACTAAACGCACGTTTTATTACGCAAATACTCTATTTTATGATTTATCCGTATAGGATTTTACATAGTGTTGGCTTATTCTATGTAGTGAATTTGGTTAATCCAGTGCTGTATTTCATTTTTGTAAAGTAAGAATTCCACGTACCCAGGAATTGTTTGGGCAGAGAAACTAGGGGGGAGATTTTGGAGATTCAATTGATGAAGAAGAAAGAAAAATAGTTATTTTCTTATTTGATTCATGAGTGAGGAAAGAAATTCTAAAAATTGATTTATTTTCGTTATTACAGGGATATGGTATCCTCACAGTTCAAGCACGCTCCCACCATTTGAGACCAATCCCCTGCAAAGATTTAGCGGCAACAGAGATGAGTGAATGTAGGGCTGCCACAGGAGGGGAGGCTGCAATGCTTTATACTGGCCTCTACCTTGTTGCTTTAGGAACCGGCGGTATTAAGGCTGCTTTACCTGCCTTGGGGGCTGATCAGTTTGATGAAAAAGATCCCAAGGAGGCGGCTCAACTATCAAGCTTTTTCAACTGGTTCTTGTTCAGCCTTACCGTAGGATCAATAATTGGTGTTACTTTCATTGTTTGGATTGGTGTCAACCTTGGATGGGATTGGAGCTTTACTGTTTGCACCATTGCACTTCTATTCGCAATTCTGTTCATATGCATGGGAAAATCATTATACCGCCACAATCTTCCAAAGGGAAGTCCTCTAGTTCGAATCATACAGGTACTGTCAATTCCTTCTTCTGCACTCATTACAATGTAGGAAAACACCAATTTCAGTTTTTAAGTATTATTACCTTCTCTCATAACAGCCCCCAATGTTAATTGAACTATGAACTTCACTGAAATACACAATTCAGAGACTAAAGTGATGAGTATTAAATATTTCAGAAATTACTAAAATAGTTTTAGTATCTTAGACACTAGTTAGAAAAGGGAGTAATAATCCGTGATATATTGGTGGTTTATGCAATTCTGTTTAATACGTTATTGTACATTAAAAGCAAATTTTATGATACATGTGTACTCATATATTATTTTGTTGTACTATTAGGTGTTCGTGGCAGCCTTCAGAAACAGAAAACTTCAGATTCCAGATAATGGAGACGAACTGCATGAGATTCATGAAAAGCAAATAGGGGACAGCATTGAAATTCTTAAAAGGACTGAACAATTCAGGTAATGAAATTAAAACAAAAAAGGAGATTGATTGTTAACTCTAGTCTCACCTGACTAGTAGTATTCTTTGACTAGAAAGTGGAAACACTGGTTATCAATCAGCTCCTCATTTGGTTTTCTTGGAACAATAAACTCACAGATTCTTGGACCGAGCAGCAATTGTTGAAAGCAGCACAGGTGCAGCAACCTCGGGACACTGGAGACTTTGCACGGTGACACAAGTGGAAGAAACAAAAATCCTAATCCGAATGCTACCAATAATACTCAGCACCATATTTATGAACACTTGTTTAGCTCAACTTCAGACTTTCACTGTACAACAAAGCACCACCATGAACGCCAAAATTGTGGGGTTTAAAGTGCCAGGAGCCTCTCTCCCAGTCATCCCTTTGTTGTTCATGTTTGTCCTAATCCCCTTATACGACCGTGTTTTTGTCCCACTTGCTCGAAGAATCACAGGGATTCCCACAGGAATTCGACACCTTCAGAGGATTGGAATTGGTTTGGTTCTGTCTGCTGTTTCCATGGCAGTGGCAGGTTTTGTAGAAACACGCCGCCGGTCAGTAGCCATCGAACACAACATGGTGGATAGCACAGAGCCTTTGCCAATGAGTGTGTTCTGGCTGGGATTCCAATATGGTATTTTTGGAGCTGCGGACATGTTTACACTGATAGGCCTTTTGGAGTTTTTCTACGCAGAAAGTTCGGCTGGAATGAAGTCACTTGGCACTGCAATCTCGTGGTGTTCTGTGGCATTCGGTTACTTTACAAGCACAGTGGTCGTTGAGGTGGTTAACAAAGTGAGTGGAGGGTGGTTGGCAAGTAACAACTTGAACAGAGACAAGCTCAACTACTTCTACTGGATGTTGTCCGTCATAAGTGTTGTGAACTTTGGATTTTACTTGCTTTGTGCTTCTTGGTATAGGTACAAAACGGTCGAAGTCGAGCAAGATGATTCAAAAAATAATGTTGACATCACCAAGGTTTAGATTATTAGGCACGCAGGATGTTCGGTATAATTTTATGTAGCTCTGTTATCTGTTATAAATATTAGGTCTGGCGGCGAAGCCTGCATAAATTGCTGCTTCAAAGTGAAGCAACCAATGGAAATTGCAGAATAGTGCTAGGTCAATAACAACTTAAAAAGCTCAATAGATAAACCAAATGCACTGCTTGGATATAGTGCCAAGTTTATTTCTGAAATATAGGCTGGAGGTTGAGCATTGAGCAGTTGTTATCGATTTGCTTGTTTTACTGTGACTGGATTATGAAGTGAATTATTTTAATGATGAATTAGTATACAAATTTACATCGATTGAGGAATCGAATTTTAAAGTTAATAAAAGCATGGTTTGTTGTGGTATGCTTAAAAAGTTAAAACAAATATAATCAACATGAATTATAAATATAGTGTGAAAAGAGATCAAATGAATTGCTATAGCATGAATATTTTAATTTTGAGTGAACAAACAAACATTACTTAATAAAACAATAGAACACAGAACAACGCTGGTAATTAACTTGCAAGCAGGGAGGAACCAAAGATGAAGGATTGGAAAATATATTTGGGATTATGACTGAAAGCATGAAGTTCTAAAAAACCGCACTGATTGAGATTGATTCTTAAAACAGTGATCTCAAATGTTCGCACCTTAAAATATAGTGTTTGTACAGATTGTTGGTATCTAGTAAAATAGGAGAGGTAAAAAGTGTAGGAGGAAGAGTGTTATTTGCAGCTGAAACAGGGGTAAAGGGATCACTCCTTCGTCAATTGACGTGAAATCTATACCTTAATCTGGCAACAATTTCTGATTTGTGTAATGCTCTTAATTACACATTAATTCGCAGTGAAGTTTTCACTAATGGTCCAACTTGTTGGTAGTTAGAATGAAAGTTTATAACAATCATGGAGTAAAAATTCTTACAGGACCAATTAATCAACACCTACTTTGCAAGGAGGGGGGGTATGTTGTTTAATAATAATAACAATAATAATAATTTTGAAATGTTATACAGATAATCTTGTCACCGAAATAAATAAAAATTAATAATTTTCATTTTTAATCCAATCAAACAAGTAAAAAGAAATTAAATTTCAATCCGTAGTCAGGTCAGATTACTGTACCTGAACTCTGATAGAATCTGATTTCCGAATCGATAACCTGGGACGTACTTTTCTGTTGATTTGTGGATTCAGTTAATCGATGCTTTGTAATCCACAACTCATTCCGGCACAAGATAAATAATAAAAATACACAAACGGTAGGGAGACATTTCATTCGTAATTGATTTTAAAATAGGCAAACCACTATGGTGCCATACAATTTCATGTATGACTGAATGGCATTACAAATTCAATATTGGAGGACGCTTGAGTATGGAAATAAAAGAGAGTCAATTAGTTCCATGTCAAATCTTTCCTCCAGTTTCTAGCATTCAGACATAGTATACATACATGAAAGAATACAAAACAAATCAATCATCATATTTCATTTTTTGGGGTAAAATCATACCATGCTTTTGGAATTCTTTTTTTTTTTCCTCCCCGTACTTCAGCAAAGAGAAATGCATCTGACTCAGATGGCAGTAAAGAACGCATAATGGTATTATTAAGTCATTGACAATTTGTATCAATGAATAAGATATTCATCCCAAACTGTATGCAGAGAGCTCATGCTGGCCCCTCTTAGAGAATCTTAGAATGACAGCTCAATCCCGAGCAAAAACGGGAGAAGCTATCAATTTAGAAAAATGTGAGTATCTGGAACCCTTCATCACCCTCAGATCAGAAAGCCACAGGAATCATGTCAAGAAATTGCCACAGATTTGTTCCCAGAAGGAGGTTTACGAAGGGTATCAGTGTCAGATAGCTTGGACGGAGGCCAGTACCGAAACATGGATCTACCAACAATGTTCTCGATTGGTAGGGGACCCCTGATAGACACAAAAAACAGCAAATAAAAGTTCAGTCAGACATCATTGATCCGATAAATGTGCACAAACATATGTTTCCAAGTTCTGAGGTCTGATAGCAAATTTACGTAAGATTGTTTTGAGAAGAACAGCATCTACAATTGGGCCAAAATCTTGGTCAACCGAAGCTAAAACATCCTTCAGCATAATCAGAAAAAAAAAGTCAGCAAGAAAGGTCTGAAAATTACCAGTTGTGAGAATCAAGGCTGTTATTCCGATTGTCTCCCATTACAAACACATATCCTTCTGGCACAACCTGCAATCAAAACACAAAACCACTGTCAAGCCCCACATTAATTCCATCAAACACTACTACAGCTTCAAATTGCAAGCATTACCATTGGATCCATCTCATAAGCAAGAGGCTCCAATACAAATTCCTGTTCTTCAGCAACACCGTTTACCAGTAGTTTCCCATCTCGAACCTACAGCGAAAAACCCAGAAATGCATAAGATTATAACCTAGAAAAACAAGACACAACACTAAATCAATTAACTTAAAATATAAAAGCATACCTCGACACAGTCCCCCGCCTTAGCCACAATCCTCTTTATAAATACATCAGACGAAGTAAAACCAAACTCCTACATAACAACAGAAACAATCAATAAACAATACAATTCACAATTCATCACCACCTTAAAACATTCAACAAGAAAAGAAAGGTCTTCGAAGCATACCTCCAAACAAGGAGGCGCTTTAAAAATCACTATATCCGAAACATCAGGCTTTCTAAAGATGAACGAAACCTGTTTCAGACATTAACAACCCTAATCAGTTCAGAAGAAGAAAAAAAAACAAAACAGATACGACAGAATCACACAAACTTCAGGCAAACAGAACTAATAACTAACCTTCTCGGTCAAAACACGGTCACCCACTTCAAGTGTAGGGTACATAGAAGAGGACGGAATGGACCTAGGTTCAGCCAACGACGATTTAAACAGTAAACTAACGGTAATGGCAGTGAACGCAGCCTTCGCGTCTTCAGAAGACACGTTCAGTAACCGCGACAGCCAACTAGTCTTCCCAAAATTGGATAAATCGCTCGGAACGGCGCGTTTCGTGCCACCTTTATCAACCTCCCACGATGTGGGGTCAGGAACGGACTCGTTGCAAGGAAGCCACTTGGAACCGGGCAAGAAGGGAATAATGGAATTGGTTTTGAAGGGCGAAATACCGAAAATACCCGCAGCCGCCGCGGATGACCCAGACACACCCGCCGTTGACTTCATAATCGAAATCAGGCCCAAGATGATTGGGCTCTTGCAGCTGTCGCCGAGAAAGTCTCCGGCGATGGTGGAGTAAGTGGACTGGGCCGAGCAGTTGGACCTAGCGAAATTTCGGACTCCGCCGGCGGAAGAATCTAGATCCGTCTTCTGGGTGGCGCCGAAGAGGCGCGTGCGGATCCAGCACTCTTGGGCGCATCGCGAATTGGCGACGCGGACGCCGGCGGAGGAGACGAGGTTTTGGGCGACGTAGCCCGAGAAGGAGAAGGTAACCCGTATAGCCATGACTACAAAGTTGATTAATTGGAGGAAGAAAAGGTACAGGGTGGTTTCGGAGAGGCGGATTTGGGAGTTGGAAAACCCTAGCAAGCGACGGGAAGCATATTCAAAGAGGGAATCAGAAAAGCGAAATCGAGAGAATCGAATTGAAAGGTGGAGAAGAAAACGAGGTAGGGAATCGCCGGCGACGCGATCCCCCGAACACCGGAAGTAGGAGAAAGTGTTTTGTTGGGTTGGGTGATGGGTCTGGTCTGCGGAGAAGGAGAAGTGTAAGAAGGAAGAAAAGCAAACAAAAAAAGTGAGTCAATGCTTGGAAATGGGTTTTAATATATACGGCGGCTCCTACACTCTTCGCCTCACATCATGGAACTTGCCCTATCCTTTATTTACGACATTACCCACCCATCTAATTTTTCATCTTTGACTTCATTTTTTCTTTTTATATAACCTTTTTCTCCTTTCCATATCCACTCAATCCTATAATTAAACACATACACTCCACGTACCATTCCACACTAATTACTTGCTTCATACAAAAACTTACAATTTAATAATAATATCAAATTTGAAGGAGAGGTTTTACTATCGCTAATTTCTACATATAATTATTCCACCTAATTTAAATAAGATTATCTCATATACAAAAATACGTAACTGTTTTTTTTTTCCAAAAAAGGTCACGTTATTCCGTTTTCATACACATAAAACATTACGATACTTTTTCGACTCGTTCAACCTGATTATATAATTGGACGAGACCTTGGGAATGAGTTCAGGTTCATTGCACTTTAATTTTCAAAAATAAATTTATACATTAAATTAAAAATATATTTATATTTGCTTTGATTTTAAACTAAATTAATTATTGGGTTGATCTTAACTAAATTATGCTATAAAAATTGCATAATTTTTAAAAGCTATTTAGTATGTTATCGATTGATTTTCTTTTAAATATGATAGACAAGAAAATAAACATGCACGTATTAATTTTTAATACGTGTGACGTAAGTGCATGTGTCATGTAATGATTTAATAAAATTATTAGATGAAAAAAAGTAGAAGTCACAGGGAATCAATCATAGATTAAAATAATGTTTTATGACCGAAAAGTTAAAATAACTATAATTAGGAAGCACACACCCACGTCCGTAACCGCGGGTATTAAAGACAAAAATGAAAATGGAAAGAAGTAGGAACTGCGATGATTTCTTTGAAAGCAACGATCATTTTTATTTTCATAGTTAAATTATTGATTATCAGATTTAATTATTTTAAAATTTTATATCATATTCTTTTGCCTCAAATCCCTTTTTCTCTTTTTAATATATTTTTACTTAACTTTTTGTCCAAAATTAAATTTGTGTACTTGCCTATTTAAATAAAAGCAATCAATAAATAAGTCTCTGATGTGAACACAGTGGAATGAAAATGAAAATGAAAAGTAAGCACTTCACCGATACAGGGTGTTGTTTAGTGATATGAATCTTATTTAATTATATTTGACATAGTCAAATTGATTTTATTTAAATGTTTGATCAAATTTTATAATTATTTTATGTAAATTAATTTCATAATATATATATATATATGTTTATTTATTTATTATATATATTTTTTCTCTCTTTTTCTCTTTATTTTATTTTATTGATTAAAATTATTTGATATCTTCAATATTTTATAGTTTTAATTAAATAAATAATTAATTTATTATGATAAATTTTAAATAATTATTTAATTTTAAAAAATAATTTAATAATTTTAATTAAAAGAATAAGTGAGAGAACAAAAATAAGATACAGAAAAAAATAACGAATAATTAAAGAGAGAGAAAATTATAAAAAAATATATGAATAATATGTAGATCTAGTAAATATATTAAAAAAATATATATATTATTCATAAGATTGGTATTTATTAAGATGTAAGTTTTTTATTTAAAAAAATATTTATAGATGAACTTAAATCGATGATGTAAGATATTATTACAAAAACTAATAAAATGAATCATTTTTTTTGTTTTTTTTATTACTTACACTCCCAATAATTAAAAGTCTTTCTCCTATTCCTATATAGCACTCACGTCCATTCAACACTCCTATTTATGTTTTACATTTGAAATTGAATTGAAATGAAAAAGTCTAACTTATACTTTTAACTTGATTTGGCTACGTCCAAGAAGATATGTGTTTATTATATATTTTGACTCATTAAATTCTCAATGTTGGCAGAACCCAGAATTTTTACTAGTTTATATTTGCGATTTGAATAATTATATACCAAAAACTTCAATATATATGAAATATAATTTTAAAATAAACCAATTAAGTAATTTATAAATAAAATCAATAATTTAAATATTTTAAGATTTTTTGGATTAGAAACGATTATGTTATTTTATGTTCTATTTTTTATGAATCTACTAGTAAAGAAATATCATTTCAATCTTTTTCTAAAGAGCCAGATTAAAAAAAAATATATAATTGAAATTACATTAAAATATGTCGAGATTACGAAATTAACAAAATATATGCATCTTCGAAAGGCTAAAACCATACCAAATTAAGAAACATTGGCATGAGATGATAATCTGAGATATGAAAAATATTAATAAAGAAATAAACTAAAAAAAATATGAAGTAAAATTAGAAAATGAATTCATGACGGTTTTAGTAAGTAAACAATATTGTAAATAGTATTTTGTGAATATATTACAGTTAAAAAACATCACGTTTTGCACCACACCTTCAACCACTAGAAATAGTAATTATAAAGTAGAAAAAAATATACAGAGTACAAAATTATAATTTAAAACGTGATGAGAAGAAATTACAGAAAAATTATTATGTTGAGACGGTAATATTAATAATTTTAATATTAATAGTAACAGAAATAATGATAATATTAATATTAATAAGAATATTATTAGTAATAAAATAATATTAATATTTTTTATTATTAATGATAAAAATAAGAATTGTATTATTATTATTATTAATAAAATAATAATAATAAAATAATATAATAACACCTATTTTTAAATTTAATAATACAAACATAAAAATAATTTATTTTATTATTAATTTTAGTAAAACAAATATTAGTAAAATAGATAATAATTAAATATATTTAAACTTTTAATAATATTATTTCTAATATAAAATAGATTGTTGCTTCATTATTTCTTTTTTTTTATTTAAGTGTTTCCGCTGTCAACCACTTTACTCATTAAGTGAATTCTTTTAATTTTAATTAAAAAACGTAAATTTTTTCAATTCAAATATTTTTTGTTAGATTACTTATTATCTCTAATTGCTCATCATTAATATAACATGAATATTTATTATATTTCATATATAACTTAAATTTTTAATATAAATTATAACATTTAAAGTAAAGTGAAGAAATATAAAAATATAAGAAAAATCAATAACAGAAAAATAAATATAAAAAAAGAAATTATAAAAAAATAAATATAACTCATAAAATAAAAACTTGTAAAAATAATAAAAAATGACTATCTAAATTATAAAGATCTTAATTGAAAATTATGATTTTATTCTCGTAACATTTTTTAAAATGCAAACTTTAACACAATTTCATAATCACTTATAATTACACTTTTTTTTTATACTTTAATCAAAATAAAATAAAAAAATTAACATGAAATAAAAGGTTATTTTTTATAATTATTCTCCTATTTTCTCACGTCATTTATTTAATACAAATACTCATAACGTTTATGTCATATAATGGAATGGAATGATAATTGATTGTCTATATTTCTTGATTGCATTACCCCTTATCAATTATTCTTTAACTTTTTATATTTCCATAAATCTTTCTAACACATCCCTTTAATTTATTTTTCAAATTTTCTTAGTCTTCTTATCTTTATCTTATAATTGATAATACTAATTGTTCATATTAACATATTTATGGATTTATCATCAAATCACAACTCTTTGCTAAATTATATTTTGATTATACTTATCGATTTAAACATTTTTATTCTTTGTTTCTTCTATCATACACTTAACTTATCTTTTCTATTAATTGTCTCTATTATATATTTTTTTATTTTAAAGCACCATCATATTTTTACTCATCTCAATTTTTTACCATTTTTATTTTTACGCTTGACCTGGATTTTTTTTTAATTATCATTTCTTATTAAAAACTTTAATATTATTTTCAACTCTTTCTTTTAATGTAGTTATAAATTTGTTAGGAACAAATAAATAATAACATTAATAATATTATTAATATAATAATACGAATCATCCAAAATTATATATATTTTAAAATAAAAATAGTATATATATATATATATATATATATATTATTTTTTCTGAAATAGAGTCGTAGTATATAAAATACGATTATTTGTAACACGGGTTATTAGAAATGGTAATTTTAAAAGAAGTTTTCATTTAGACAAATAAAAAAAAAATTCCACTATTCTCGAGAAAACCAAGACAGAAATATTATAATATTATCACGTAATAAATACTGTTCTATCTCTGATAATGTTTTCTTGATAACATAATCTTCAATCAGCTCATTCAGCTAAATTGAATACATGACATTACATTGGACAAAAAGGAGAAAAAAAAAAAAAGGTGTTGATATAGTTTAAAATGCAAGTTTAAGCCTAGGAACTAGTATAAATGGTAGAAAGATGTGCACCCCGTTTAGTAGCCGGCAATGATAGGTGGAGGGGGTGAAGCATAAGAAGAGCCGAAGTGAGGGGGAAGAAAAACGTCTTCCGTAGGAGGAGGTGAAGCAGGTGGTGGAGACTGCACTGGTGGCGGTGGAGACTGCACTGGAGGTGGTGGAGAGTACACGGGTGGTGGTGGAGAGTAAACCGGTGGTGGAGGAGAGTAAACAGGTGGTGGTGGAGAGTAAACTGGGGGAGGTGGAGAGTGAACAGGGGGAGGAGGAGAATGGACAGGTGGTGGTGGAGAGTAAACTGGGGGAGGAGGAGAATGGACAGGAGGTGGAGGAGAGTAAACAGGTGGAGGAGGAGAATGGACAGGTGGTGGAGGGGAGTAAACAGGTGGAGGAGGAGAATGGACGGGAGGTGGTGGTGAGTGAACCGGTGGTGGAGGTGAGTGAACAGGTGGAGGTGGAGAGTGAACAGGTGGTGGTGGAGAGTGGACAGGTGGTGGTGGAGAGAGGACAGGTGGTGGTGGGGATTGAACAGGGGGTGGTGGAGAGGGGACAGGTGGTGGTGGGGAGTAGACAGGTGGTGGAGGAGACTGGACAGGTGGTGGTGGAGATCTTTGTCGGTTCCCGGGTGATTCCTTGTGGGAATCGTCCTCTTCTGGTGGTGATGCTTTGGGTGATGGAGGTGTAGGTTTGGGTTCTTCGGGCGTGGGTGATTGAGGAGTGGAAGGGGTGGGTTCTTGAGGCTTCGGTGATGGAGGAGTGGATGGAGTATCTTTGGGTTCTTCAGGCGTTGGGGATTGAGGAGTGGAAGGGGTCTGTTTGGGTTCTTCGGGCTTTGGTGACGGGGGAGTGGGTTCATCTTGCTTTGGAGTTGGGGTAGGGGTAGGGGTAGGGGTAGGTGGTGGTTGTGACTTAGATGTTGGAGGAGTGGTGGTAGGTGGAGATTGTGGCTTCGGTGATGGTGAGGGTGTTGATTTCTCACTCTTAGGAGGAGTTGGTGATTGTTTAGATGGTGTTGTTGGAGGAGTGGAAGATGATGGAGTGGAGCTGCCCCCATGGCCACACATGGTTTTGCTACAATCCACAGGCTTGCTTATCACCGCATTGCAAGCGTTTGATTGCTTTTGCTTTGGCCTATCTGGTATGCAGTTGTTCTCATCATCCAATACAGGCTCTTTCTTTTGAGGCACGCAACCTTCTTCCTCTCCATTGAAATAGTTATCAGAGAATGTGAAGTTCAACAAATGGGGCAAGCTGCAAACATTACGCGGGACAAAGCCTGTCAACTTGTTATGCGAAATCGACAAATGCTCCACATTCTTGAGCCCATTTAAGGTCCTCGGCAACACGCCAACCAAGTTGTTCTTGCTGATGTCAAACACCGTAACTTGTTCCAGTTTTCCAATTTCTGTTGGCAAGCAACCGGTGAGGTTGTTGTTGGTCAAAACAAACTCGTTCAATTTCTTCATCTCCCCAATGCTCGAAGGCACGCACCCTGTGAAATTGTTATTGGCGATAACCACAACCGTGGCCGGAATAGATCCCAGGTTCTCAGGAATTGTGGAGGTGAAGCGGTTATTGTTCATAAACAAAGCGTCGAGGGTTTTGGTGAAAAGCTCTGAAGGCACTTCGCCCTCAAAGTCATTGAACCTGATGTCAAGGTATCTGAGGTCTGGCACTGAAAGCACGGGGTCAGGGAACTTCCCAACAAACCGGTTGTTGCTGATGTCTAGCTCAAAGAGAAGCTTAAGCCTGGTGAAGGTGTTTGGGATAACCCCACAAAACCTGTTTGAGTTTATATGCAAAACTCCAATGTCAGCTAACAGACCAAATTCTGGGGGAAGGTAACCTGCGATGTCTGCATGGTTAAGGTCAATCCCAGCCACAACTTCGAGCTTTTGGTCATCTAAAGCAAAATGACAATAAACCCCATTGTAAGAGCAAACATCTGGGCCCGACCAATTTGCCGTGAAATTTGATGGGTCAGAGTAGATAGCTTTTTTCCATGCCTCAAGAGCAATGTAGGCAGCTTTTAGCCTAGGGTTAGAGAAGTTGTGGGTTGTCTTATAGTTCTCTACGTAGTTGTCTGGCAAATCCTCATTCTCACTCAGGTGCATCAACTGGCGACGAGCAATGAAAGAGGCTTCAACATCGGAAAGTGCAAAGGAGGAGGAGGAGGATAATGACGAGAGGAGGAATAGGGAGAGGAATAGAAAGCAGCCCGAGGCCATTATGAGAGAAGATGATGCATTTTGGTTGGAGGGGGCAAAGGGTGCTTATAGAGGTCAATGCTCACGTTGAGAGGTAGAGATGAACGCGTTACATGCCACCATACGAGAGGCTCTGCTGCGATTTCTCAACCCCTCATGCTTCTTCCTTTTTTGGGATCTTCTCTTTCTATTTTCTCCCCCCTAATCTTTTTTATATTTTTCTACACATGTTTGTTTCTATTTTTCTCTACAAATAATTATCTATAGACAATATTTTTTATTACTAATATAATCATAAATATATTCAAATAATTTTCTCTAAGTAACTAGTAAAAAGAAATGTTCATGCATATTTTTCTTTCATGTACGTATATTTTTTTAATATTGCACTGTCTTAAGGGCGAATAATTTACTATAGAATTTATTTTCAGTCCATGACATAATACAAATATTCTTTTATGTTTTATCACTACATAAAATTTAATATAACACACTAAGTTAAAATTATTCAGTGAGACTCACATGATATTATTAGTGTTGACCTTAAGTTCAAAAATATTTACAAAATGAAAATATTTCTGTAGACCAATAAACAACAAAATATTCAATTTAAAGAGAATAAAATATCTTAACTATGTAATTTAAAACAATAAATTTAACACTGACAATATTCTTCATATATAATTAGCATATTTTGTACATAATCAACGGTTATTCATTAAATAAATTATTAATAAAATATATTAATCAAGTTAAAAAAAATGTGCATTTAGTTTTTCCAACCTTTTAAAAAAGTGATAAATTAGAATAATAATAATTATGAAAATGTAGAAACTTTAACTATATTTTATGGAAAAAAAAGGAATTTTGGAAATAAACATTTCACTTGGTAGGAAGTGAATTGAGAAGATATGAGGGGTGGAGTTGTGACCACAGTTTAATTTTTAGAAGGATCTAATCTACAGTCGTCACACGTGGCCTATGAGCCAATCAGTTTGGGAGCTCCTTATCCAAATAAAACCCCACTTTTGGTGTCATTTGATCTTGCAGAGGTGAAGTGAGTGATAGGCGAGGCATTTACAAGTTTGGTTGATCAATATTTTTTGGTGGGTAGCAGCGAGGAGGATCAAATGGCCATGGCCACAGCTGTCGTGTGTCCGCAGAACATCACCGCCGGAGGCATGGTGAGGTCACCTGCCAAGACCAAGAAGACAATGAAAAAAGTGGTACACGTAAGAGGGCTTAATTCATTTGGGGGACTCAAGGCTAGCAATGGTGTTGTCTCCTTGGGGCTTCCTGTGAGCACTGAGAAGTGCTTCGCTAAGATTGTGAGGTCGGTGAAAGCAACGACATCGAATGGAAAAGGAAAGGGAGGAGGGGCTCTCTCATCCACCTGCAATGCCGCAGGTGAGATATTCACGATTGCTGCTATCATCAATGGCCTTGTTCTTGTCGGGGTTGCTGTTGGGTTTGTACTCCTGCGAGTTGAAGCATGGGTGGAGGAGTCCGAGGCTGAGTGAAAGTTGAATCAGATAAGCAAGTAATTTAAATATCCACAATGGTTATATGTTCCTAATACATTCATGTTGCTCCTGTTCTTGTTTTCATTGTGACTTGTATACCTATCGCTGAACTTTCATCATTTTCTTGTTTCGTTCGTAATTGGATATTCTCTTGTCAATGATTGATTGGCATGAACTGCTGCATTCCTGAACTTCTGCTTTGAACATCGGAAGTCACGGCCTCTGGGCTGTTGTTCATTCCTACGAAAATTTATATGTAATTTCTCCTGCGGGAGAGGAACATACCTTATTAATTTTATAGAATTACTCTTAAATTGGGCTCGTACGATTAAGCATCTTCAATAATGCTTTTGCCCATCAGTTTTCTTTAAATTACAAAATACGTCAATTTAAATCTTAAAATTACGTTCTTTTTAAATGATTTAAACATTTTGTAACTTCATAGATTAATACGAATTTTAAAAATTACATTCTTTTTAAAGACTTAAATCTATTGTTCTTCTAATTTCCTTGAATAGTCACATTACAGAATGTTTCGAGTAGTTCGAGAGTTTTACTCATCACAGTGCTAATGGCATGTGATTAAAGAAGAATATAGTGTAAACATGTAGATATTCTTTCAAAAAACTTCTGGATTTTAAAATGGGGAGATGAATTTTATATCTTAGTAGTTGAATTGCCAACTTCCGCATTAACACATAAGGCTTATGTTCCGTTCATAATAATATTGTCACTAGAAAATGATTTGATGCTAACCACTTTTCTTCAAATCACAACTCAAATTAATAAAATCGTAGGTATGTATACAAATTTGGTGAGGACCACCAGTTACATCAAGCTGGGAAAACCACATTCATGTTAAATGGTACGTAGAAAATGTCCGTGTTACAAAATCAGCTAAAGATGAACTCCTGACTCACTCGTTAGTGAATTTGTGGATGTGGGTGCGCTTGTGTAAAGAGACAGCAACAGCACCCTTTAATAAGTTATTTCATAATGATTTGCAGCCTGCATTCTAAAGAATGGAGTTTGCCAAAGACAACGCGTGGTGGGTTAATAATATATGGGGCGTGGTTAATAATGGGAAATCCTACAGAGTTTCATAGATAACGTGTTTGTAATCTGTACTGGGGTAAATTATAGCTCTATTCTTCTAATGACAAAATTGTAATCAATTGCAGCCAACATTCCACTGCAGTAACATAAATATTTAAAAATTTAAGAAACTACAATAGATAAAGCATTTATGAAATTAAAAGTTTGCGGCTGCCAAAAGAAGCAGATGACTCTGGACCAAAACTCCAGCCAGAAAATAATTAAACAAGATTCTATCATTTTGCGAAGAGCTTTCTCACAGTGAAGGTCTCTGACATACAGCAAACAGTTGCCAGCTTATAAAAGCCATCACCAGGGATGTGAATAGCTCAAAACCTACCACTTTGGGAAAGTGCCAACCCAATCCACGCCTCAGATAGCTGCAGAAGACACAGTTCATCAAACATTACACTACAGCAAATGACACATAAAATGTTTATGTAATGGCTGATCAAACAATTACGACTTGTACCAACACCAAATGATGGGCAATCTGATCCTAATTGACCATATTTGCACAAGGAGACAAGGCAAGCAAAGAAATATTTTCTGCTTGGTCCCGAATCCAAAGACTTTAACTTGCATAAGAAAAAAATAGTAGAAAAAAAGTGATTTGAACATGAAATTACACATTTTCGTATCATAACAGTAATTATAATGATCTAGGAAAGACCTTGTGATAGATGGCATGGTTGCTACGATTCCAGCACTCAAGTATATAATAGGGATGAGGGTCTTGGGTTTATTTTTCCGAAGCCACATCAAAGATCCAAGTGCAGCAAGGGATATACTCAAGACCTGTAAAGATGCAAGGTGCAGAAATATTTAAAATTACAGATAATTCATATACTACAAACTGCACATGAATTCAGTCGTGTTTTCACCTATACACTTACCAACATAGACAAACTGTTTCATCAAACAAGTGAATGTAAAATTAAAAGAAATTCCAAATTCCAGGAGAACATAACTGACCAAATGCTTTAATTTGATCTGAGGACTGTATTTCAGTCCTAGAAAGAAAAAAAAAGAAGACTCTTAATGAAAGGACATACCAGATTTGCATTAGCCTCAAGGCCCTGAAGAATGTAATCCCAAGTAAATTCTAATCCTCTGGCACCAACCCAAAGAGGAGCCAACCTATGCAATACAGAGTCAGCAAACGCCCAGCCTGTCACAAGAAAAGTGCCACCAAGACCCAGATAAAGATCAGAGAAGGAGAGTAACAAAGAAACATAAGGGATTGACCCTAGAAGAAGATTATCACTTTAAGATTTCACATAAATATTAAAAAAATGTACAAAATGATATAGCCTGTCACACATACCAAGTCCAACTGCTTGAAATTTATGATTCTGAGAGATGTTCCTGTGAGTCAACTGGGTCAAGGCAAAATAAAGCCCAGCAACATCTATAAAACCTATTAATGCCTTCAAAAACTCCTGAAGAATAAATCCCTTTGTTATCATTCAAGACAAAACCTTAAAGCATTAACTTTAAATAGACATTGACAATATCTAGGGCTTCAGATGATAAATTGACAGCCATCTATTGTTAATTTGTTATGTGTCTTCAATTTGTTGTCCAATAGAAACTTGGATTTTTCTTTGAAAACATGGAATTAAATTTTTCAAAGAAAATATGGAGATTAGCTCCTTACAGCAGAAGACCACCATAATTCCTCAAAACATAGGCAACACAACAGACTCTTGAAATAGAAGGGTATCTCTCATTAACATATACTTCATGGCACTTCTATATTAGAGGATATTTCATAAGAAAAATGGCTATTTTGATTCCCATCTCTATTGTGCAGGAATGTGTAGTCCTTAGTTTGGTAGGACATTAAATGGTGATTTCTTTCTAGGCACACATAGACGAGAACCCAGTTCACTTCACTCTAGGCTGGAAGGTATAGGTGCTTGTTTTGTTACCTTCCTAATAGTTATTAGTTTCAACTGTGATTTGTGTTTCCATTTTATGCTGATTCCATGCATATAGTATTAAATGTATAAAGGAATGAGAAAAAAATTATAAACACAATTGCAAGTTGCAATCTTCAGCATACCAAATACTAGAGAGGGGGAGTGTTTATTCCCCTCAATTGAAGCTCTAATTCCGATAAATCAGTCTGAATATTAAAAGCACCTGCCCACTTCTCATTTTGGCATACCATACTCTTTCTTTGTGTATATATGAAACTTTAACCAGTACCCTCCACGTTCATGTAACAAATACATATACTAGTATTTTGGAAGGAGAGTCAGCAATAAAAAATAAAAATCAAAGAATAGAAAACAGAACGCAAACATAATATGACAATACTAAGCATTGATTTATTTATTTTACATTTGCAAAAGCACAGTTCCCTATGAAATTTAGCTGTTCTTCTAACAAGAAATGGGAAATTCCCAATTGCGATCAAGTGTCACTGTCTCTACAGTCTACACCTTATAACTTAAGATAAAACTATGAATTGAGCAAAAGTTGACATAAAATAATTCTGTTAAGATAAGACGTGAACACAGGGTCATAACAAATGTTAAAAGTCATAGGATATGACAGCTATAATAAAGTCATAAAACATATAAAATTAACCTGAAATTATTGTAAAATAAAAATCTTAAATTACAAGATACAATTCATGTTTTGAAAAGAACATGAGTCATTTTAGATGCTCAGATTTATCTAATTATTTTGGTATTTTAATTTACATCAGTATACAAGTTAAAATAACAAATCACAGAAATACATAAAAAGTATTATAAATTCTCAATGTCAATGCAAAGTTCGACATTACTACTAAGTGTCTATGCTTCTTAGCCTGGTAATCATTTATAATACCTATCAGGTACAGTATAAAAACGTATGGTCTAAATATAAGGATTAAAACTTGTTATTTAGCATCCCTTCATGAGCAGTATATATAAAGCAATTCAAAACAACTCAAGCATACTCATAAGGAGCAATTCATACACATACCTGATACAGATCAAAGGTATCACTCTCCGATACCTTGAGAAAAGTAGCTAGACAAATAAGCTGTCAGTCATAGTCAGACAAAAAAATTGAATCAGATTGTCACCTTTCTTTGTGCAACGACACAACAATAGTTAAAAAAATCAGTATATTCACCAACCTTTACTAAAGCCGTTGCAAGATAAACAACAGCGGCTTTGATAGAGGTGCCGAGTGTATCATACTCAGATCTGCATATTGAAACTTATTACTTTACTAACACATAAAACCTCGTACAAGACCTAGTTTTAACATCGCCGTAAAAAGGAGAAAATTCCAAAATTCATCACAACCACAAGATTAATAGTTCATCGAATACTGAACAGGCTTCACGATAGACTTTTGATTGCATCCATGCATTGAAAGAACATTACACAAACAAGTTATGCGCAATACGTATGAAAATAAAATTTGGTACAACAGTTGAAGCAGGCGAAGTTGTGGGAGCATAAAATTGATAAGTGAAGGGGTAATTGTTTATGCAATTGTAGTTGAAACAGATGTAAGAAACATATATAGATCTGAAGAGAGAGTAGTGCATAAAAGAGAAACAGAGAGAAGAGGGAGTTACAAGGGCGTGGCGGAATAGTAGACGGCGTGGGGACCGAAAGTGAGAATCGCGCAGTTAAAGAAGTGAAAGACGGTCATGGCTCTTCCCTTCGCAGATCCAAATGAGAAGAAAACACTGAAACACGCTCACTCCTTCCACTTCACCTTCTCTTCTTGTTGTTCTGTCCCCAATCCACTCCTAATTAGTACTTTTTTATGACATAATATTTGCGGCTAATTCCCAGTTAAACTTTCGAAGAAACAATTTTATTTTATTTTTTAATTTTAAAACATTTTTTTATTTTAAATTATTATTTTTAACTATTTATGCCAAATGCAGCCTAATAATTAAATTAAATAAATTTAATTATTTTCTTAATCCTTCAAATATGAGATAAATAATTTGTAGTCTTTAAATTAAAAAAATATTCAGTCTTCAAATTTAAACACTAAATTTGAAAAAAAAATTATAATCCTTTAAATTAGTTATTTAAAGATTAAAATTATATATATTTTTAGTTTTGAATAATTAAAATCATAATTTTTTTCAATTGTGAATGATTAAGATTATATTTTCTTTAATTTTAAAGTACTAATTTGTTCAGTTTGAAAGACTAAAATTAAAATTATTTTAAACTAAAAAAAATTAAAAAAATAAAATAAGAGTGTTTGTGAGTTCATTTTAGCTAAACATTACTTAGTTGACAGGATTATAAATTATAATTTTGTTTGATCAATATGGAGGTACTTAAAAATAATAAGTGAGCTTATTTCATTAGCATTTTTTTTTTCCAAACATTAGGTACTTAAACTAAATGCTAAACATGCAACTTATAACTTATTGAGTTGAGGAGATAAGAAGCATCGTGCAGAGGGAGGATGAACGATAACTTGAAACCAATTTGCAGTGGCCACTGGCATATGCCAAACAAAACTGATTACAGGCACATGATTTTCTGCACCAGACTGGACCCGTGCCGTGCCACAATGCACTGTTCCTACACCCACTACGTATTCATCAATTACCTTGTTTCTTCAACAACTTATCTTATCTTTCTGTACCAACAAATTAAACCTCTTTCACCTTTTCTGTCATCAACAATTTGTTCTTTTTTCACTCTGTTTCCCAGAAGGAGAACAAAATAAAATAAAAAATAAAAACAGATAAGTCAGAAAAATAAATAAAAATTTAAAATATTACTTATTTCATTCCAGATAAACATAATACAAATAAAATTGTGATATTAAAAGAAAAATTTAAATCATTAATAAAAATACTATTTTATTCATAAATTTGAAGAAGTGTAATTTGTCTCTTTTGTTTCTTCATCTTTCATTTTCCCATGGTACGAAGTAGAAAGCAAGAAAATCAGTCCAAAACACATAAATAAAATAAGGATAATTCTATTCCATGCATAAATAATAATAACTGCATAATCACTTGTCGGTAAGTAGAATACTAGCATTTATTATCATTGATAGTTTCTGAATATCTGTTCCTTGTAGAAACATCGATTTCAGATTATTATTTATTCCTATTTTAGTTGTTTGTTTAAGAATTATTTTTACATAAATTAAAAACTAATTACTAAAAGAAAATCTAATTGTAGTAAAATTTATTAGAATATGTGTATTTTAATAAATAGAGCATATTGTTAAGACGTGTTAAAAACTGAGATATCTTTATCATGTATAACAAGAATATTACGTATAAATTTTGTTTACGTATGCCTGATTTCATTCTCCTATGTTTAGTTTCTATTTGACCTTGTCGAGCTCTGCGACCAGCGGCTATCCATGTCCTTTTTTAGGTGATGAATAGATGAGGCTGGTAATCTGAGATATGAAAGAAAAAGAACCTATTCTATTAGGTAGGTTGTGTCATGTTTGAAAACGAAGGGAGCTTTTGACCTTCGTGTTCCCTCGTCACTGCATTATTATGGCACGACTAATTTGAATCATCACAATGTGCCATTTGCTTACATGTCTTGCTTGCCTAAAAGCTGCCATGCTTGAAAAAATGGCTGAAGCTATCGAAGCTTTTGGATGAACCACCTAAACATTATTCAACGCAATGTACAAACTTCATTTACTTTCATCACTTGTTATGATCAGTGTAAGAATTATTTATATACTCGTCAATAACATATGAATACATGCTATTATTCTTTTCGGTGATATATCTTTATTTTTAATTTTCTATTAAATAATATATTATTAATCAATAAATAAATATATTAATTAAATATTAAATTTAATGTCAAAATCATACATTATATCACCATTACAAAATTTTTAAAAATTATAATCCCTTCATTTTTAAGAAAATCTGTCACTATTCCTCTTTTCTAGTGATTATTGACATTAGATTATATGGTTCATAATTTTTTAAAATAAAAATATATTTAAAAGAAAATTTTTACATGAATTATTTAAAAGTAAAATTAAATATTTTATTATGAAATTCAAAGTTAAATTATTTAAAATATAATCAAAAATATTTATACAAATATTTTTTTTAAATTTTAAATAATTTTTTAAACAACTTAAATATAAAATTTATAATAAAATATTCACTTCTTTTATTTTTAAATAACTCTCGTAACATATCTTATTTCCTCAATAATCCTGGCATAACTATGCATTTTTCCCCAGATAATACAAGTATTGGACCGGCCTCTAAATAACTAGTTCAACTAATGACAGAAGTTGTATTTCAATTTATGAAATAAACTTAATTTACTTCTGTTTTATTTTACTATATATGCATGTTTATTAAAAACTATAATAATAAGTAAGACCTTAATAGAGTACTAAATAACTCTTAACACATAGGAACAAGTGTGACATAAAAAATCAAATGGAATACAAACAATTAGATTTATGCACTTGGAACCAACAACAAAAATGAACCTTCTTAATAAAATCTAGCCGATGAATCGACGCAAACAAGTTTACGGACACAATTTTCCAGTCTATTACTCATTCATTTTCAATGTTCATACCTTAAATGCAATCATATGTATAAAAATACTTTTAAAACAAAATTAAAAAAATTAAAGAAAAACATAAACATAATCACTTAAGACATAACTCATCCGATTTCAACAAAAGAGAGTGATAAAAAAAAAGATTAAAAAATAAATGTAAAAAGTTATTAAAAATAAAATATATACATATTGTCATGATGCATCGCTTAATAAATAATTTATTATTTAATAAATGTCAAATACAAACAAAAAAAGTTTAAAAAATTTATAAAATATAAAAAAGTTATTTAATATATTATATTTATTCAAATACCTTCAAACAAAGCCGAAACTGTATTCTGGAAACCATGTGGAAATATCAGACCACATTATCCATTGACATGAATAATTGGCTAACTGATTAAGACACTCGTTGCACAATCCAAAAAATTCATTGAAACAAAGTCGATCAATAAGTGACAAGTCAACCTTTTATTTATTTATTTTTATTTCAATATTTTTCTAAATACAGGATTTTGCCTTGTTAAATTTAGTATTCATTGCAATTATTTAGCTTTTCACTATTAATTTTTTATCTCAGGAAAATTTATGTAATTTTCTGTATTATTTTTAATAATATATAGCTTCATCTTATTTTCATATTTTTATACTAAAGTATTAGTTAATAATATATATATATATATATATATATATATATATATATATATATATATATATATATATTGTAATCAAACAAGTGAAGTACAGACTAATGCTTTGGCCAATTTAACTACGAATCTCAGTTTTAAAAGATCAGCTTAAATAAAATGATTATCAGAATCATAGATTTTTAGGTTGATGGAACATAAAGAATTTCGAGTCTATATTGTTCTATGACTAATGTTACTGCATATTTGTGTTATCTTCTGTATTTGTTGTGGAAAATAAGTAAGTAAACTGGCTTACCTTAACGATCATGTTGAAGGTGTGACATAAAGAGGAATGTAATGGATAATAATAGAAGGTGGAAGAGGTTTAATGCGGCATCAGTGGATCTGCATGAGCCATGAAACAATGCAACGTTTTGGACTGATGGTCAGTCTTTGGTAAAACAAGAAAATTCCCATTAAAGATAATAATGATATTGAAAAGAGATAAACTAAACCTCGATACTGAAACAAAAAAAAGCAGGGTATTTGAATGGGTCATTGCAATCCATCAATATTATATAGGGAGACTCCAATTCCCATTCCAATATTCCATTGAATAGTACTCGTTTTGTTTTTCTTCAATTCCAACCATTCCTGACAGAACCACCATTATATCCCCCAACCTCATTAAGTAAAAATAAAAATAAAAATAAAAAAATACATTTTACTGCTGCACTGTACCACCTGCTTCTCTATTTCCTTCTCTTTCCCTCTGCATATATAGTCCTTTCGTCTTCATGACTAATCCTCAGCTTCCATAAATAACTACTCCTTTTTCCCAACCTTTTCGTTCAAACAAAAACTCCAACCCATTCTCTTTCCCTAGTGACAACTAGTCTCTGCAACATCGACATAGTTTCGTCACTGCTTTAATTACAGCTTTCCGTGTCGTCCTTCATCCCTAGTGGGATGCTACTTAAAGAGGCCATCATCTCTCACTAAACCAATCCAAATCATAAGCCAGTCATGACATAAACACATCCATATATAAAAGATAAGTCTCTAACTCATTTTCAGAGGCTTAAACCATTCCTTACAAGAAACATTTCTATTTGAACTGGACAGGACTCTTTTGACTATTTAAGGCAATTGTACGTCATGAGCTCCTACTCAAAACCACTTTTAAATTGGAACAACTGTACACCTGTGAGTGTTACTCAGTTCTCAGTTTTACTCTACCTTTCTTTTTAATAAGCTTTTTCAATCATTCATTCTATTCTCTTCTTCATATATACCTCGAGGACCTCCTACTTTCTATGTCTTACTATATTTGATTCACTATGTCATTTCCACATCCTTGATTAAACTCTCCTTCGTTTCCTTTCTTGTGTAATTGTACCATCTCACTGGCCACTTCTGTAACTAATATTCCAGAGCTCTACAATTCCCATGTACACCACTCCACACGCAGTAATGCCAACCTTTGCACCCTTTCCAGAGCCAGACCTCTCCTTAAACATCAGCCCACCCTTCACTTCAGATTTTGACGGTAAACAAGTGGAAACAAGCTGCAACGGATTAACATTAACCACCAAAACGCTTTACAGCGATATGTGCTCAACATCGGATTCTGGAAGCAGTGGAAGCGATTTAAGCCACGATAATGGGTTTTGCCCCACTGTCTACAACCTTGGTCATCGCGAACCGACTCTGAGCTTAGGCTTCGGAAGGGAAAATTTGAATCCTTATCCTATCCAAGGAACAGTGTCGAAAAACTTCAATCACCTGTACAACTATCAACCTCAGATCAATACCCTTGATTTCAAACGAAATGCTAGAGGCTTTCAAGGTGTAAAAAGAAGCTCCAGAGCTCCTAGAATGCGATGGACTACGACCCTCCATGCTCATTTCGTTCACGCTGTTCAGCTTCTTGGTGGTCATGAAAGTAAATCATAAATTCAAGAATCTAAGCATAGTTTGCATGCTATGATTAAGGTTTTAAACTGTGGTTGTAATCACGGTCACTGTTTCTTGCGATCTTTGACGTTGTGTGGAATTTCAGACAAACGCAACTTTCTAGTTGTGTGGAAGAAACCCACAAAACCATGATGTCGCGGCGGAAATCGTGATTGCAGACCATTTTTCAAACCCTGAATGATTAGTTTGATCATCAGTTTCATCATTATTCCGTTATGAAAGTTTGATGTCATATTACTATCGGTGATTTGTTTTGGATGTTTTACCAAATTTTTGGGTTGCATTGTTTTATCGGTTGCAGGGGCAACTCCGAAGTCTGTGTTAGAGTTAATGAACGTTAAGGATCTAACTCTAGCTCATGTGAAGAGTCACTTGCAGGTGGGGTTACTGTTCCTATCTCTCTGAATTCTCCCTGGTCCTTTTTTCGGGGTAATTAATGAATTTTCCTTTTTATTTTCTGACTTGACAAAACAAACAAATAAAGTTCCTTAGTCATTGCCTCCCGTAGTGGGGAAGCTAGAACAAAGACTAAGGACAAAGGGGTATCTAGATGGTAATCTTAGCGTTGTGGACTTTTCTTCTCATTTTATTTTATGCGGGGTGTTCATGCAGATGTATAGAACAGTGAAGAGCTCTGACAAAAGCAGCGCAGGTAGTTGGATGTTCCCTCTCAAGGACCCCATTTTCGTTTCTTCTATTATTGTTATTCCCTTTGTTTGAAATCCTTGGTGATTCGAGTGTGGCAGCCCATGATTTGCTCTAGTACTGTTTTGAATTAAAAAACCGAGAAATTATATTCTTAAAACTTTTCATCTGATCATTTTTGTTACATAAGAGTTGCTATGATCTCCTTAAAAGTCTAATGTTTTCGGAACTGGAATAAATGAGTTTGAACACTCCAAAAGAAAGAAAAAACAAAACAGTAATTAAGAAAAAAAGGAGAAGCTTAGTTATGAGATAGAATGAGAGATACAAGGAACGAAAAAATATAAAAAAAGTGTGTTCTGTAAGAACAATATATATAAAGACTATAACTTTAAAGTCTTACGTGAATTATTAACCTGGGGTCTGATAAAGCAAGAGTAATGGCTCTATCGGCCGGTGGTGAAATTGCAGGTTATGGGCAGACAGATATAGGGTTTAGCCAAAAGCCAGGGATTGTCGATCTGCATGGAGCCTTAGCTTGTGAGAGACCGAATTTGCCACAGCCACTGCTAAAATTCCACAGGTATTCATTGCACTATTCCACACCTTTTTTCTCCTGTCATTTCAGTTTTTTTTTTTTTTTTTTTTTTTTTGTACATATCTTTCTTCTTTTCTTTGCAAAATTAATGTCAACCAAATTAATTTATTTTCGCTGAGAAATGTAAATATAAAAAATAATAATTATAATGATTCATGGTCAATAATAATTTTTTTTAGTAGAAGGACTTGAGGAGACAAGGAAAAAAATATAATGAATAAAATATCATATATAATAAATTATGTAAAGAAAACAAAAAATATTTTTTTATAGAAACTTTTATTATATCTCTCTCTTATCTTTTCACATTTTTAGGATTGATTAATAGTACGGAAAATTACTCAAAATCTTGATGTATGAAAAAATATGATGTATTTGGTTAAATAATAATACTTTAAAGTTAAGATGAAAGCCAAATAGTTCTATGCAGCTTTAGTCAAATTATTTTCGTATTATTTAGTATTATATTTTCTTATGCACACAACAATAATATTTCTATACTTGTACAGCAGTATTTCTATCTCTCCTTTATTTTATTTTTCCTTCTCATTTATTGATACAAATCGTACTATTTATGATATTAATTTTGTTTAGATCTCTATCTTTATCATTCATTAAGATACACACTTACTGAGTATATAATTGCATTTAGCAGTGATTCACAATACTATTGTACACTCACTTTACACTTGATGAGTTTATATAATTTTCCTTCTAATTCCATTGTCAAACTTTCATGTTAGGTCAATCACACATAGGAACAAATAAACTTTCATGTTAGCTTTACAAAACTGATATACCAGCATCACGACCTTAGCTTCTCTCATAATTAACCTAGATTTTCCTTTTTCCTTTATTGTTCTTGATACATTCTACTTTTCACTTCTCACTCCAAGTTCTTTGGTAAGGTTTACCATCAAAATCCAAACATAAACAGATAAGAAATGCTATAAGGATTTGTATTCATATATAACACTATCTTTCATTGCTTTGATATATTTACGTACCTTCTTAACGTACTACTTCACTTACTTTTTACACTCAGGGCGTCATGGCATTCATCGATGGAGACAAATTCAATAAATTATATGCAGAAACCCATTATGAATTCAATGTATTCTCATCTCAAAGGAAACCAAACCACGGTAAGTTGGAACCCATAGATTCAAACATGGCTTACACTAGTTTCGGTGCAGTTTGCATGTACCATATATATCTTCAAAATTAATTATATTTAAACAGGTGGGTGGACAGCATTATGGAGTTCTGTCGAATTGCATGGAGAAGAAATTGGATTCTTGCTCTTTGTCACGTTCTGATATGACGCTAGACCTAGAATTTACCCTTGGAAGGCCCACTAGCTGTAAACAGACCTCGCAGAATCAAGAGAATTAACTCTTCTCCACCGCTGAAGATGTTGCAACCCTTTCCTTTCTCGCTTCACCACTCCTCCAACATTATGTTGAGAGGAAGAGGAATCTTATTATATTAATTTGTTGAATATTTTTTTCTTTTTTTATCCATGACACATATATTTATGAGTTTTTTCTAGCTACAAAAAGAGCTGAGAGAAGAGGATAAATCTTCGCTACGAAACACTTGCTTCTGTCCAATGAATTCTGAACGTGTCTTCAATGTCATTTTCAGTAGTAGAAGAAAGATAACAGTTCTCTCAGGCAATGGACCATATGTTGTAATCGTTCCCAAGAGGACCCATCTTGAACAGGTGGGTCAAGATTTATGCGAGACTGTCATGACATCATTATCAGATTATGCTTCATATTTGTATCTAAGAGAGTTATGATTTGTTTTTGAAAGCCATAGATTTGTTCCTTCTTTTTTATCACTATGGTCGGGGTTTTGATTTCAATGTTTCTTCAGAATTTAGTTGGTTTCAATTTTTTATCTTTTTTACATTTTTTATAATTAATTATAACATGACACTTATTTTCAATTTATTTTTATTTTATTTTATTTTATTTTAGCTTCAAGTGTTTATGTAATAAACAATAAAAGTATGGTTTCGATTATTTTCATCGTAGGAATTAATAAAAATATAAAATTTACTTTTTGCTTTTCTGTCTATCCCATACTCTCCTTTTAATTCTAACCATTCTTTTTCCTTCCAACATGTTTAAATTTTTGGAAAAACATTTTTGAAGATTATGTAAAAACTGATTTATGTTTTAAAAAAAAAGCAAAATAATTAACAGTTATTTTTGTTTGATTATAATTTCATTTTTAATTTATTTATTTTGAAAGTTAGTTTTAATATAGTTTATTTCAGAAGTTAAAAAAATTAAATAATCCAAATTTAAAAAATCGCAAATAAAAGCTAACCTATTAATTTTTTTCTATCCAAAGATATTTTTCAATAGGTAATAAAATATAGAGAAAGTGTATAAAGAAAAATGACTAATATAAAAAAAGTAAATAATAATTTCTCTTATTCAGTAAAAAAAGTAAAGATAAAATATCACTTTTCATTAAAATGGATATATTTATTTTCCTATATATATATATATATATATATATATATATAATATAGAAAAAAAGAGCGAAAATTAAAAAAAATATTTTATACATTTTTTTCACTTAAAGAAATAATTATATTTTTATATTTACAGTTATATATATAATTATTATTTTAATAAAATATTATAAATATAAATATGATTATAAAAATTAAATGAATAATTTTATATAATTTTGTCTATTTTTAATATGATATGATATTTTTTTATTAATTTAATTTTAAATAATTTTATAATAAAAATAATTTATAATTATATATTAAAGTATATATTATTAAAAAGTAAAATATATAATTTAAAGATATTATTTTAAAATTTTATTTTTTTAATAAAAATTATTTGATAATTATATTGATAATTTTATAATTAAATAAATATTTAATTCTAAATATAAAAATTAATTCTAACTTAATTATTTATTATTTTTAAAATAAATATATTTTCTTTCATTTTCTTATTAAATAAATAAGAATATTTTGTACTTTATTTTATCTCTCTTCTTTTTCTTTTTTTCTTTTCTTTTTTCATACTTTGTTTTTTTTTTTATCAAATAGATTATTAGAGATATAATAAAACATTAAAACACTTTTTATTTTTCCCAATATTTTCTCTATTTTATTGATCAGAAATCAAATAATTTGAGAAGATATGAAAATATAGCAATATTTAAACAATCTTTGTCCTTATTAGAAAATATCTTCTCTATTTTCAAAGTAAAGAACCAATTATTTATCGATTATAGTAGACCTTATCAATTTCAATATGCTAAGAAATTATGAGTTCACAATTTATTATTCTTATAAACTCCTTACAGATAAGACTGATTCTATATCATTTAATACTAGCTATATGGAACCACCAATTGTTAAAAAAAAAAGTATTATGTAATGAGTTTACTGAATAACATTAGTCTTAGGAAAAAAAAAAATATAGGAGGATAGTTTTGAATTCTTCTTAATTAATATGTATTTATTAAAGGACACACACCTCCTCCAGTTATTTTTCAGAAAATTAAAATTTATTATTTTAAATAATTTAATTTAATTTAAAATCTTATTGGTTTTCATAAATTTAAACTCTCAGTTCCAACTTTAGAGATTAAATTGATTAAATAATTATCATTTAAAAACCGAAGAATAAAAAATGTCAAATTCATTAAAGACGGAAAATATTTTAATCACCCGAATGATATATTAAACATATTCACTAATTCATTGCCGTGATTCATTGAATGACATTTTAAAAGTTAGATTAAATGGTTAACTAATGCATGATTTGGCACTGAGAACACCATGTCATCATCCTTGTCGTTTACTCAGTGTATCTATTCCAATGGTTGAATTTTTAAAGCTACGCAGTATTTGCCAATGTTCTGATATGATAATGAGAAAGCAATTAAGCATGAAACAGGACTGTTATAGTGAATGGGAAAAAGGGTGTGTATTGTGGAGTATAGGACCATCTCCATAGGCATGTATTTGTTGTAATAATTTGTTCTTCCCCACATATGGCACTGTAAAGAATAAAGTATGAAATAATCAGACATGAGGAGGAAGTGGCATGAATAATGATCTACTCAGCTTTAGTAGTTGGTGGTTCAAAAAATCTCTCTTTTCTATGTTCGCTCATACATTTCCTTGAGGCTTAGCTTATACTCTCAAATTGCAAACTATATCTTCTCAATTTCCTCTGTCATCAATCATCGTATGCAATAAAGTATATATATAGTTTTATGTGTGGATATTTTTACATTATGTTTGAATATTTTAATGTTGTTTTAGTTTATATAGATAGATATATTTTTTATCTGTTCAAAATTTGGAGTAAGATATTATTAGTATATATAAATAAACGTATAGCAATTGATATATAATAGTGAGTGAAATCACACGTTGATTTCTAATCAAGAATAATATAAAGTCTTGATGAGAAATATATATGTCTTACACACTGATAAATACATATAGAAATAAGTATATTAAATAATATAAACATATTCGTGTATATAAATTTCATTAGAGGTTTTAGATAAATTAGTAAATATTTTCACTTAGAAAAGAGTGAAGTTTGTAGTGCATATATTCTCTTAAAACGCAAACATAGAAATATGTACTATATTCTATCCTTCCCAGCCATTACAGGAAGTCATTTACATCGTTTACTTTGTAGCAGAAGAACCTACTGGCTCATAGACATTTTCGGACTTTAATATATAATGTTATTTAATTAATACATTTCACTATTTTTATCAATATAATAATTCTGAAATATTTTATATTTATTCAAGAAATTGGCATCATCATTATTTAACATAATGTGAACAACATGTTTATTTGCAAGGTAACCACCGTTAAAGATACGGCAGCATGCTTCAGGCTACTAAATTCAGTACGATAGGTATTATAAATTGATTGAGCACCATCTCCATTTCGTAAAATCTTTTCAAAACCATGGATTCCTCCTTGCAATTAACTATTGTAGCCATTTTGGTGTCCGTGTTGGTATTTCTCCGGCACGCTTTTCTTGGAAAGAAGAGAAATAAAGGAGGTAGTAACAATGGCAGAGAAGCTCCTGTCCCAACTGGTACATGGCCACTTATTGGTCACCTACACCTTCTGGGTGGTGATGACAAACTTCTCTACCGAACACTAGGAACAATGGCTGATAAATATGGACCTGCATTTAACATCTGGCTCGGAACTCGTAGAGCTTTCGTGGTTAGTAGCTGTGAAGTGGCTAAAGAATGTTTCACAACCAATGACAAGGCACTTGCCTCACGTCCAACAACAGTTGCCGCAAAGCTCATGGGCTACAACTACGCGGTGTTTGGTTTTGCCCCTTATAGTCCCTTTTGGCGTGAGATGAGAAAGATTGCAACTCTTGAGCTTCTTTCTAACCGCAGGATCGAAATGCTGAAGCATGTAAGAGTGTCGGAACTCAACATGGGCATAAGGGAGTTATACAACTCTTGGGTCCAAAACAGGTCTCAACCTGTGGTTGTTGAGCTGAACCGGTGGTTCGGGGATTTGACTCTGAACATGGTGGTTAGAATGGTGGCAGGAAAACGCTACTTTGGTGCCTCAGCAACTTGTGATGATGATGAAGCAAGGCGGTGCCAGAAGGCTATTAATCAGTTCTTCCATCTGATTGGGATTTTTGTGGTTTCGGATGCACTTCCGTTTCTGCGTTGGTTCGATGTGCAGGGGCACGAGGGAGAAATGAAGAAAACTGCCAAGGAGTTGGATGCCATACTTGAAGGGTGGCTACAGGAGCATCGTATGCAAAGAGTTGATGGTGAAGTTAAGGCAGAGGCTGAACAGGATTTCATTGATGTCATGTTGTCGCTTCAGAAGAGTGGTCACCTATCAAATTTCCAATATGATTCGGATACCAGCATCAAATCCACATGCCTAGTAAGTCGTTAAATCAAGAAGAACCTAATTTATTCTTGTAATAATTGACTTTATGTTTTCTTATCTTCATTACTTGGATAGAGTTTACTTAATAAGCATACTGTCTACTCAATTTCCTGGGTTTAGAGTTTAGTTATGTTGCCTTACTCGTATACATGAAGCTGAACTTTGTGAAAATCACCAAAAATTCTGAAGTTATTCTGCTACCTGTAACTGAGCCGAGAGGCTCTTCATTAGATAAGCTTTTTTGACAGAACTTTACAGTTGAAAAGCTTTGCTAGATAGAAACTATACTAAATTGGGCCAAACTCCTTGTAACACTACTTTTTACTGCTGAATTTTGATTACTGTAGAATACATTTTTGGTTTGTGTGAATGTGTGCAGGCTATTATACTTGGTGGCAGTGAAACCTCAGCCGGCACGCTTACTTGGGCCATCTCATTACTCCTCAACAATCCTACAGCATTGAAAAAGGCCCAAGAAGAATTGGACCGGAATGTTGGCATGGATAGGCAAGTTGAGGAGTCAGATATTAAAAACCTTGAATATCTTCAAGCCATTATCAAGGAAACCTTGAGGCTATACCCAGCTGGGCCTCTCCTAGGACCAAGGGAAGCACAAGAAGATTGCAATGTTGCTGGTTATCATGTCCCTGCAGGCACCCGCTTGGTGGTCAACTTGTGGAAGATTCATAGGGATCCAAGGGTGTGGCAAGAGCCTTCTGCCTTCAGACCTGAGAGGTTTCTCACAAGTGATGGTGTTGATGTTAGAGGCCAAAACTTTGAACTCATTCCCTTTGGCTCTGGTAGAAGGTCATGTCCTGGAATGTCTTTTGCACTCCAAGTTCTTCACCTGACACTGGCTCGTCTGCTTCATGCGTTTGGATTTGCAACCCCATCAGATGAACCAGTTGACATGACTGAGAGCCCCGGTTTAACAATTCCGAAGGCAACTCCCTTGGAGGTTCTTCTTACTCCACGCCTTCCAACCCAATTATATACCTACTAAATTAAGCATACGTATGCCTGCATGAATGTTCTAATAAAACCTTTCAGTTTATCCTTGAAAATGGAATTCATGAAATTCCAGTTGCTTGATGTTAAGCCATGACATGAGGCTCTCTTATATAATGAAAACTCAGTGTCATATGATATGTTTATATTTGCGTTGTAAAATTGATTCGTGCAATCATTACTCTCTGTCTCCCAAATTCTAAGGGAAAAAAAAAAACAATGATTGGTACATCCAAGATTTTTCAATCTACTAGACATCTACTCAAAAGCTAGGAAACAAAGAACATACCTTTTTATTTGGTTCATGATATTTTGAAAACTGTAAGAAAAAACAACTGAAAAAAACAACTCAAAAAAACAACCCATTTTATTAATATAATAATTATGAAAGAGATTAAATAAAAATGAAAACAAGTTAAAATTATTATTATAATATTAAAAGTGGATGGTTTATTAAAGTTGTATAAAATTGGGTTGTAAAACTATATTTTCTTTTTTTTAAACAAAAACAAACTAAACAGTGAAAGTTAGGTGGTATACATGTGATTACAAGTTGATCCCGTGCTCCCAACTTGTCATGGAGGCAACAGCTCTTGCTGGAGTACCTCTCTTACTATTAATCTGTTACTTCATCAAACGGGCTACAGCAGGTTCTGCTCGCAGGCCACCGGAAGCCGCCGGTGCCTGGCCTTTGATCGGCCACCTTCACTTCTTTGGTCGCTCCGGTCAGCCTCTTTACGAAACCCTGGGAGGTTTCGCAGACAAGTATGGCCCAATATTCAGCATGCGTATCGGTGTGCATCACGCTGTAGTGGTGAGCTCGTGGGAGTTGGCGAAGGAGTGTTTCACCACTCTCGACGTGGTTGTTTCCTCTCGTCCCAAATACACCGCTGCAAAAATCTTGACATACGACTATGCTAGTTTTGCGTTCTCCCCTTACGGAGATTTCTGGCGCGACATGCATAAGATTACGGTTTCGGAGCTACTTTCTACTCGACGTGCCGAGCTGCTTCGAGAAATTAGAGATTCGGAGGTGCAGAGCTCGTTGAAAGAACTATACAGAACGTGGGTGGAGAAAAGAGGTGATTCGTTGGTGGAGATGAAGCAGTGGTTCGGGAAAATAAATCTGAACGTGATTCTGAGGATGGTTGGGGGAAAGCGATACTGCGTAGGGAGTGGAGATGAGGAACGGGCGAGGCGGGTTCGGGGGGTACTAAGAAAGTTCTTTGATTTGCTGGGGGTGGTTGTGATTGGGGATGCGATTCCGTTTCTTGGGTGGCTTGATTTGGGAGGTAAAATGAAGGAGATGAAAAAAACGGCTGTAGAAATAGATAGTTTCGTTTCTGAATGGTTAGAAGAACATCGCCAACAAAGAGACTCAGATGAGAAGAAAAGAGAGGAAGACTTCATTGATGTGTTGGAGTCTGCTATTGACGGGGTCGACCTTGCTGGTTATGATGCCAACACTGTCATTAAAGCCACATGCTTGGTAATGTCTCAAAACTAAATTTATCATATGCATTGAGTTCATATACACACTTTATTGCTTTAGACAATTCTAAATGTCATCACATATTTTGTGGTGGATTTGAGTAAAAAGAGAAATAAGAAGAAAAAAGAAAGAGTGAAAAGTTAAAATAATAAATGTAATAAGTGATGTGATAAGAAGAAAAAAACAATAAACTGTTCAATTGTGGTTGAGATAGATGGAGGCTACTTGTTATCATCAAGAGGTTGAATAATGGACATTTTATTCGAAATTTACAACAGTTAATGGCATTGCTGCATCTTGCAGACGTTAATTGCTGCAGGAACGGATACTATAACAATAACTCTGACTTGGGCACTATCGTTATTGTTGAATAATCGTGATGCCTTGAAGAAAGCTCAAGATGAATTAGATGTGCATGTGGGCAAGGAAAAACTGGTGAATGAATCTGACATAAACAAATTAGTTTACCTTCAAGCTGTGGTTAAAGAGTCAATGAGATTGTATGCAGCTGCACCACTTCCAAGTCCGCGTGAATTCACAAGCGATTGTACCTTAGGTGGCTACCAAATCCAAGCGGGTACCAGATTTATTTTGAACATTTGGAAGATGCAAAGAGACCCGCGTGTGTGGCCAAATCCATTGGAGTTTCAACCAGAAAGGTTCCTCACCACCCACAAGGATGTGGATGTGAAGGGTCAACATTTTGAGCTACTTCCCTTTGGCGGTGGAAGAAGGTCGTGTCCTGGAATGTCAGTCGGCCTTCAAATGACACACTTGGCTTTAGCAGCTTTTTTGCAAGCATTTAAAGTCACAACCTTGAACAATGAAAAAGTTGACATGAGTGCCGTATTTGGACTCACACTCATCAAAGCCACCCCACTTGAGGTTCTAATCGAACCTCGTTTACCATATCAGCTTCTGGTTAGTGATGAAACTAAGGAAAATCCACTGCCTTAACTAGTTTATCATAATTAGATGATTGTCCTTGTCCCCAGTAGTACCTTGAATTGATATCTGTAACTTGTCTGCGTACAATTTTATGAGTAAATGTTTGTGTTTTAAAATAATAATTATTACAAGTCAAATGTTTGAACTGGCAACTAATTGAAGTGAAGATGGGGAACGGGTATTAAGGGACTTATTTCGTTTCTTTGGATTGTTTGTGGTTGGGGACGCGATTCCGTTTCTGGGGTGGCTTGATTTGGAAGGTGAAGTAAAGGAAAATGAAGAAAATGGCTATTGAAATGTTTCTGAATGGTTAGAAGAACATCGTCAAAAGAGATTCAGGTGAGACCAAGACAGTACAAGACTTCCTTGTTATACGCGGTGATCACATCCTCGATGATTTAATTATTATCATTAAGAAGTGTGAATTGATTTTTTTTAATATAATTTTGTGTACAGCAAGTGATTTTAAAGTGAAAAGATTCATTTACATCAGTGGCTGGCAATTTGGGAGCGACTATGTTCGTTCCCTGTGAAAAAAACTACTACTTTTTCTTTTCTTTTTTTATCTTCAATTTCACATAAAACAAAAGAGCAGGTATAGAAATTTATTTTATTTTAAATACAAGGGTCCACTTAATTTTTTTAAAATAATTTTATTGTTTCATTATTGATTTAAAAGTTGATGAGATAACATAATTTGTATGAAGTGGATAGAACATAAACTTCATTTTCTCACGCAATACACCATATCCAAGACATAAAAGGTTAAAAAGACAAAATATGCCTATCTTTTTCTCCCTCTCTTTCTTTCCACTATACATATGCCTCTTTAAATTTTATTTTAAAAATAAAATAAAACAAAATTACAGCTGTTAGTAAAATTTACTAAAAAAAGGGACCAACGTGGAGAAACTATACCTCTTAATTGATATATAAAAAGAAAATATCTATTTATAAATTAAAGTCAGATTTCAAATTTCATATTAAATAGAAATAAAAATAAATAAATAATTATAAATAAGAGATCATATACATTAGATTGAAGATAAAGTTGTTGTATACTTTTAACTATGTTAACCTCTCACAAATATCCGTTTTATAGTTGTCATCCATCACGATAAAATCTGTGCAGTAAATAAAAACTTGATGACATTATTGAATCTCTGTAACTGATTTATGTAGGAACGGATAGTTATGGTGCAAAAATCATTGGCGTCAAGAAGAAAGTTATGGTGTTTAGTAAAAAAGAATAAAAACGATAAGGCAGGAACAAAGTAAATAAAAATTAAATCATTCTGATTACTTCACACATGACATCAGAATTGTGCCGTGTTAGATGAATTGGTTTCTTTTTAGATTATACGTTTCTGTCAATGGAGTTAACGTGAAGAAGAAGAAATTATGATAACTCTAACTTGGAGACCTGAGTTCCAAATCAAAGCTCCTAACGCATAAGAAGCTCTGTTATGAGGTTCAGAAATTTTACCCAATTCTGGATTTTATATATTTAATTTTTGTAATTTTTTTAGTTACAAATAATTTAGAATCAGTTTTGTTTATCATTCCATATACAAAATTAATTGATTGTCACTTTTTTTAATTTTTATTTATATTTATTGAAGTCGTATTGCATATGAAGACTTCAGTTTTTATTTTTTATTTTTTTTTTATTTTGATGTTACATAATTTTTTATGTAAACTGTTTAAAATTTTGAAGAATGGAGACTCACCGGAATGGTTTAAGACACACTCAGAGTTATCGATGATTACATCTTTGACTTTTGGTTTCTCTATTCCATACAATTTCTAAACACCTGAATTGCGATGGTTCTTACGATTCAGTACCTGGTCGTAGCAATTGTTGTCATACTCTTAATTTCTCACCTCGTAAAAAGGGCTACAACAGGTTCTGCCCGGAAGCCATCGGAAGCAGCCGGTGGGTGGCCTTTGATCGGTCATCTTCACCTCATAGGTGGTTCCACTGAGCCTCCTTACATAACCTTAGGTACCTTAGCAGACAAGTATGGCCCAATATTCAGCATCCGAATCGGTGTGCATCCTGCAGTGGTGGTAAGTTCTTGGGAATTAGCCAAAGAGTGTTTCACCACTCTCGACGTCGTGATCTCTTCTCGTCCCAAATACACCGCTGCTGAAATCTTGGGCTACAAATATGCTAACTTTGGGTTCTCCCCTTACGGAGAATTCTGGCGTGAGATGCGCAAGATTACGGCTTCAGAGTTGCTCTCCTCTACGCGCTTCGAACTTTTTCAAGATATTAGACACTCCGAGATCCAGAGCTCCTTCAAAGAGTTGTACAGAGCATGGGCGGACAAAAGTGGTGGGTCCCCTTATTTATTGGTGGAGATGAAACAGTGGTTCGGAGACGTTAATCTGAACGTCATTCTGCGGATGATTTCGGGAAAGCGATACTCTTCCAAAAGTGAAGACGAGCAACAGGTGAGGCGGATTCGGAGGGTTTTCAGAGAGTTCTTCCGTTTGACAGGGTTGTTTGTGGTTGGAGACGCGATTCCGTTTCTGGGTTGGTTTGATTTGGGAGGTGAAGTGAAGGAGATGAAAAAAACTGCTTTGGAAATGGATATCATCGTTTCTGAATGGTTAGAAGAACATCGCCAGAAAAGAGATTCAGATGAGAGCAAAACAGAACAGGACTTCATTGATGTTTTGTTGTCCGTCCTTGTAGGCGTTGACCTTGCCGGTTATGATCTTGACACTGTCATAAAAGCAACCTGCACGGTACGCACCGCTGCATTACTCATGCCATCTCCTTTATCCTCTTTCATTTATTATAATATAGAAAACTAAACTTATTTTTTTCCCTTCTCTGTTGTTGATGATGGCATCTTTGTTGCATCTTGCAGATGCTGATTGCTGGAGCAACTGATACCACAGCAGTTACCATGACATGGGCACTGTCCTTGTTGCTAAATAATCGGCAGGCATTGAAGAAAGTACAAGATGAATTGGATGAGCACGTGGGAAAGGGAAGATTAGTGACTGAAGCAGATATTAACAAATTAGTTTACCTTCAAGCTGTGGTTAAAGAGACACTGCGATTGTATCCAGCAGGGCCATTCTCGGGTCCACGTGAATTCACAGAGAATTGTACACTAGGTGGCTTCAATATCCAAGCGGGTACCCGATTTATGTTGAACATTTGGAAATTACATAGAGATCCACGAATATGGTCAAATCCACTAGAGTTTCAACCAGAAAGGTTTCTGAACACCCACGCAAGTGTTGATCTGAAGGGTCAGCATTTTGAATTACTTCCCTTTGGTGGTGGAAGAAGATCCTGCCCTGGCATATCATTTGGCCTTCAAATGACACACTTGGCATTGGCTTCACTTTTGCAGGCATTTGAAATCACCACCCCGTCCGATGGTCAAGTTGATATGAGTGCCACGTTTGGACTCACAAACATGAAAACCACTCCTCTTGAGGTTTTAGTCAGACCCGTCTTATCACATCAGCTACTCTTTGTCGATGAAGTTTAGCAAAATCCACTCTGTACTTTGACCTCTCCCACCATTAATGAATGAGTGTGTACTTTGAAGTAGGAAAGACAAATTTAGAAATAGCTTGGTATTGTTTGCTTCCTTTTTCATAGTTATTTTATTAATCAAGAAATTTATTAATAGCTTTTGTAAAGATTTTGGACGGAAATTTTTCATTGGGGTCATGTGAAGTTTGTGATGTTAAGCTTTGACCATATTACTTGAATTGAATCATTTTAAGTTTTAAATTGTAATACCTCTTGTAATTAATTGGAAATTCCAGTGTAAAATCTTTTTACTTCAAATGATGAACCTTTTAAAAATGTTTCATACAATCTTTATTTCTTTATTTCCAACCGAATTTAACCATTCCATATACTTTTAATAAAATCCTATACAAAGGTCATCTCATAAAATGTACACACGATTGAATAACATCAAACCTTATTAATTTATACGAGTGCAAAATTGGTCCTTAAGTCACTTAATTTTAGACGAATAAAAAAATAGTTTACTTAAAAAATATTAGTGATATTTTTACAAATAAAGATATTATTTTTACGTCGGATATCTTAGAGACCGATCTAAAAGTTTTTTTTATTTCATAAAAAACGATTTCTACATCAGTCTCTATGATATCTGATGTAATAATTATGTTTTAATCGTTCTTGCATACAAAGTTTTTTTAGTGATGATGGTGATAACGACCAAACTGGTTCTTCTCAAGGTATATTTCGATCTCAATGAGTAACAAAAATACGTATATTGTGTTCCACTTGTGATAACTGTCATTTTTCTCCGATTGAATTCAAGTTTTAGAATGATTTTTGTATATTGAAGTTACTGTTCTACGTGTCTCATATTTTATGTTGAAATTGAATCGGTGATTTTTTTTGGAATCTCAATCACGTTATTGCATGAATGTTTCTACTAGATTGTTATTCAAACTAAACTATTGTAGTTTGTAATTATCCATTTATGCATTTTAGTGAATTTACGGTTTATATACTACATTTTTATATTTTCATGGTTTAATTGTTTGAATCCGACAATTTTTATTGTTTGTATATTAATTATATAATAGTAACGAGTAAGTAAGAAAGAAAATGATATGGTATGATGTGAACTGAAGATATGTATATTAGGGTTTTATGTGATGATGAAAATAGAACAAAAAATGTTTGAAGAAAGATAAGTTTTGACTCTAATGTGGATTTGAATGCATAACATATGAAAACAAATGAAAAAAAATGAAGAATAGGGGATTTATCTGTAAAATGTGCTCCTAACCACATGTAATAGTAAAAAAGGGAAAAATGTTATATTATTTTAATATCTATACTCTTATATTTAAATTTTGAAAATAACATATTTTTTTCTCGATTCAATGTAGTAAGCAAACAAACTCATTTGAATATGACTACTATATCTATATCATGTATTGGATGTGAGTCATAGTTTGTATAGGTATAATTGATTCTTTGATGAAAAAAAAAATGTCATGATCCCCGAAAATTACCCTACTAATATAGAAATAAGAGAAAAATAATCAACAAAAGAATCTAATGTGAAAACTCCAAAACCGAGAAAAATAATTAACAAAAGAATATAACGTGAAAACTCCAAAACTGAGAAAAATAATCAACAAAAGAATATAACGTGAAAACTTCAAAACTGGAAAAAAACCGTGACTGTTATCTAATGATAACCAGAGAATAACACTATATGAATTTTTTTTCAAAATAATAGATAATTTTCTCATGCTCTTTGACCTCAAATACACTCATACTATCCAAAGCAAAAATTTAAACTAACACTTTATTACAAGAGTATAAGAAAAGTCAAATACATGCTTAGAGTGTCTTTGACTGGGGTGAGAAATATCATGGACTTTAAGCCTATTATATAGTTATTATCACCTACTCCATTGTTTATCTAATGTGATATGAGAGTTTTTAAGATGTATTATTTTCATCAACCCAACAATCTTCACCATGATTAAAATAAACACATCTTCCTTTTTTATCTTCATTACTTATACCAATAATCATTCATACTCTACCATAAAAAGTATACTTACTTGAAATTAAACCATTTCAAGAATTTCCTTTCATTGCACACCTCTATCAATATCAACCAACGTCCATGTATAATCAACACACACATACCCTATATCAATATTAGTCAATGTCCATGCATATTTGCATCAATGCTAACCAATGCCTATGTATAATCATCACGCACCTGTATTAATATTAGCAAATGTTCTTGCATAATTTCTCATAGCAAAAGATCACATTTTTCCATGACAACGTGGTTATGCCATGAGGATACTTAACTCCATCTTTTACAAAAGATCATCCTCTCCCAACATGAGAGAGATAGTTTTAGTATCTGAATCTGACTCACAGTTTTGTGATGATTCTCCACTTGGACAATTTTTCTTTACATACCCAGACTTTTCACATTTCTAATATACCACATTCTTTCTATGGTTCTTGTTCCCTTGTGTCCCACTTCTAACGATCATCATTGAGTTTGTTGACATGCTTTCATTACTTATCATTCTCCTCTCTTCAGAAAGAATCTTACCAGCAACTTCATCAAAGCTCAAAGTTTCCTTATCATATATCAAGATAGGCTTGATAAGCTCATAGGAAGACGGGAGAGACCAAATGAATTTTAATGCTATATCTTCTTCTTCAATCTTGACTCCAATAGCCTCTAATTCAGAGATTATTAGTGTCTTTGATTGAGTGAGAAACAACATGAATTTTAAGCCCATTATATAGCTACTATCACTCACTTCATTGCTTATCCAATGTGATTTTGGAACTTTTTAAGATATATTATTTTCATCAACCTAACATTCTTGCACGAAAGTAATTACTTTCAACATTTGTTAAGTTGATTTACTTTTATGTGTATTACATATGAACAGAGATCAAATTAATATTTTAGGTATTTCAAGATCTATTTCTACTATTAGAACATGATATTACACAAATTATAGAACAATGAACAAGATTTTTCGTTCAACATTTCTAGTACTTAATTTGTAGGTTATTGTGTGTATTATATTAACATTTAGGTAACTTAATTTTTGTACTAGTTTAGACTTTATATTAGTTTAGCTTTGTAATATATTGTATTATTATATTTTTGAATTATTGTCTATTAAAAATCTAAAATTTGGACTGGTTGTAAAACAAAACAAACCAAATATTAAAAAAAATGACGAAATTTATGTCAATTATGTCCTAATTTAATATAAATTTACGTTGATTATGTCCTAATCCGACGTAAATTTACATCATTGATTATGTTCAACATAAATTTATATCTTTCATATTAATATGAGATTTATATCTGACGTAAAAAACCAAAATAACAGACATAAAAATACATTTTGCCCTATAAGGATATAATTCCTAAAGTTAAAATAAAGATTTTTTTTTATTGTATGATTACATTAGGACTAAGTCTGACTATAATTTTTTTATAATTTTATTTCATTCAATTTAACAAATAACAAAATAATAATAATAATAAACCGTTATAAGAGAGGTAAAAAATTAATTGAATCTGTTTACAGTGAAAATTTGATTGATTTCGATTTATGGGGAGTTGAGTCCTAATCAAATCTCGACCATGTAGATTCTTTTTATTTAGGCTAGCAACTAGTTTTCAATCGAAAAGTGCATGAGAATGTAACCAACGTAAATTAGTATGCAAATCGAAACAACTATTTTTGGTATTTTTTATTAAGAAACGCGAAGTAAAGAAAACAGAAAAATTGTTGAATCGAAAAGTAGTGCGGAATATTAAATTGCAGGAATGTAAAAAACACGGAAACCTCAAATTTGCCTTAAGTATAAATAGCGAGAAATCGAAATTGCAGGAATGTAAAAAACACGGAAACCTCAAATTTGTATTAAGTATAAATAGCGAGAAATCGAAATTGCGGGAATGTAAATAACAGAAATCGAAATTGCATAAGTGTAAATAGCGAGAAATCGAAATTGCAGGAATGTAAATAACAGGAAATCGAAATTGCATAAGTGTAAATAGCGAGAAATCGAAATTGCAGGAATGTAAATAATATGAAATCGAAATTGCATAAGTGTAAATAACGAGGAACTTAAACACAGAATCTCAACTTACATAAAAGTAAAAAAACATGGAATTAAAAGTGTAGAAACTTAAAGTTGCTTAAACGTAAACTGCATCAAAATAAATTGCATGAACATAAATTACCAGGGAAAGTACAAAAAGCGGTAAAGACAATCAATGAAAATGGAAATCCAGATCACCAGAAACTTCATGATTTCGTCATTCTCCGGTAGAATTTTTCACTAATGTTTCAGTTCTCTCTGTCAATTTCCTCTTCTTCCTCAAGTTTTGCTCTATTTATAGGGCACCCTTCAGATAACCTCCTAAGAGCAGTTAACAAAACTGTCACCACGACCCACCATGCACGTTTCTCAGTTCCACGGTTTAAAAACTGTATTTCACGTTCCCATGCATGAGATAATCGTTCCCTTAACCTTAGATCTCTGTCACGGTTTGGAAACCGCTTCCCATGTTCTATGTGCGCGTTAAATTTTCCTCTCTTTCTAACTTAGCCAGAATTTCGATGGTCGTGCATGTTAACTTTTCCCTCGATTTCGATTTCAAAATCTCGAGAACTTTGCATTGCTTTTTTTACTTTAACCTTATCATTACATGATTCTAATTCCTCGATTTTTTTCAACAATAGACATTAAATATTCCTCCTTCGATTCTCGATTTATGTGTCCATACTGTTACATGGTCATCGAATGTTTTCTAACCATCTTTTCACTTTATCAGTTTTTTAAACAATCATATGATCCTCGATTTTTTCTTTCCTTTGTTTTTCGAATCCCTTTATCGATTTCCTACTAACAAAATGCCCCCTTGGAAGAATATAAATATTAATTTTTATTTTATATTCTTACAACATGATTCCCGCCTTCAAA